TTCAATGACGATTGGCTTGCTTTATGGGAATCAATCAACGTTCTTCATATCACCTAAGTCTAAAGTTGCCTTTTAAAACATGTTGACGTCTACCGTCTGACAAGTTGCAAGGGTGATCGGTTGGCTCATGTGACTCACAGCATGTGCGTTGCGCAGAGCGCATTTGGCCTTGACAGGTTGAGGAGGCTGTTCCTGGATGGCCGCATCCTCGAGATGCAGCCGGGAGATGAGGAGAGTTGTACGCATTGCGTGGTACGCCAAGCCATGCAAGCAGGGCCCATCTTCTATGGAGAAAGTCAGCATTTCTTGTGGGACCCCAAGACCAGAAAACGTGACTACTCAGAGGCCTTGCAGGCGTGCGCCACTGTGGTCCAGCTGATGCTGGAAAGACTTCAGTGTGAATTTCCTCCTTCAAGCCTTGAGATGTGCTTCAGTGTTTTTTCAGTCAATGAGGCAGCAGCTGAACAAGCGGCTGGTGTCCAGACATGGCAAACCTTCGAGGTTTCAGCTGAAATCCGCGTCCGCAAGCTGCTGCGAGAGGGCCTCAAGATCACTCATGATCAGACCATTCACCGAGCCTTTCGCGACTTTATGTCCTCACTGCACCGACTCGTGGCTCGCGCCAGAGACATCTCTGACAACCGAACTGGCTGGGCAGAGGAGCGCCTGAGTTCTTCTGGATGTTCGGCCTGGCATGAGCTCATCTCTTTCTACCTTGCCCAGGAAGATGGGAGCTGTCGAGTTGAGCGAGCACACGCACACGGCAAGCGTTTGTTGCAGAGCCATGCAGGCCCTCTGGAGGGCACTGGAACTTCCTATAGTGACCTCTTGGAAGTCAAGCTGGACGGACCATCATGCGCTGAAGAGATTGCCAAGCAGTCTGCACAGGGCTTGGAGATGACCAAGTTTGCTCGAGAATTTCTGCAGGCGTGGAGGTTACGGCATGGGGCACGGTTTCGAGTTTACAGCCAAGGTCGCAGGAAGGGTTGCCCTGGAGCCCAGAGAAGTCGCGATGACAGTGATAGGGCCTTTCGTGCTCGGCAACTCAGGGCCATGCGCGCACGCTCTGAACGAGACCGTGACAACGCGCAAGGCGAAGCATCGTCTGTGTTGCCTGGCCTGACGCAACGCGAAGCCGCTGAGTGCACAGGCGAACGACCAGCAGCTGACGCCCCAGGCTTGGTGCGCTTTCGAACTCGCAGCCAGTTGATCAAGAGCAACAATCGAGAAGCTGCTCGGCATCGACATTCGAACCCAAGAGGGCCGGCCTTCAAGAAGCCCAAGCTGGAGAGAGGCAACAATCTCTCCCAACGTGATGCGACTACCGACCCAAGTGAGGACATGGCAAAGTTCTTGCTCAGCTTGAAGCGTTTGAAGCTTGTAGATGCCTGCCAGGAAGCATGTCCAATGCCTGACATTCAAGGAATCGACTTCCGTGTGCGCCGTGTGGGTGATCATGACGGAGGTTTTATGACGTTCTGTGCCCAGTCTCATCTTGTAATTCTAGATAGTCTGGATGAACTGGCTTCGAAGCGAGGAGGAACGTGCCTTTTCCAGCCTTGGCGGATTTTCATGTTTAGTTAAGTATTATGATTCTGATTCTTGTGTGTTTGCAATTTGTTGGGACGAAGGTCATTGCAATGGGTGAGAGTTGCACGCATGCTCAGGTCTCAGATGTGCAAGATTGCTTGCACAATTGCAGCCTTCGGTCTAGCCTGCATCTCCAAGCAAAATTGGTGCAAGTTTGCTGAAGGAGGACGCCTAGAGGGCATCATATGCCACAAGAAAAGTTTGGCTGACGACTTTGTCATCGTTTGTGATTTCGAGGAAGCAGAATCTGTGCATTGCGAAGAATTTGTCAAGCAGTTAATTCAAATGTCCAATGGCTGGCAATGGTTCCGATCCATGGATGAGTACAAGCGTGGCGCAAAGGCCAAACCCAAGCCAAAGGCAAAAGCTGTCGCAGCCAGGTGGAAGCGCAGGCGAGGGCGGCCCGGGCCTGCATTTGTGATCAAGCTGGAGGAGACCCTGACGAATCATGCTGCTTTGTGGAAGCTCTTTACACAGATCCGCCGCATCCACCGTGTGCCGCAGTTGCAGCATGCCTCACTTCAGTGACTAGTAGCCGTCTCCCGCATGCAGTGAACAGCCTGCCGCCTGCCGCCTTCCTTTAGTTCTCCGCCCTCCGCTTGTTTTTTGGGAAACATGGCCATGCTGAAAGTAGCCGGGGCCATAAGAAGATGTCAGTTGGCGTGGGCTCGGGTCAATGTCAGCCCGGCTGGCTATTGAACAAGTGCCCCTTGCGCCATTCAAAAGATTTTGCTGTGCGTGGAGGCCCAGGTGGCTTTGGAAGAAGCTTTGCATGCCGTGTTGCAACCCGGGCCCAACAAGCGAACTGGTTTCCCTGCTGCCCTTTACTCGCTCAAAGCACCCATCAACCCATCAAAAGCACCAGAAGTTTGAAAGCCTCATGTAATCCCATCAGTAGTATCTTGAGTGAGTGAAGCTCTGCGGCCAGGCCCTGGACGAGCTGATCAGCCTTAGCGGCAGCAGTGCCGTTTTTGGCATGCCCTGCTGTGTGTGTGTGTGGGTCGGGGTGTGGCCGAGGGTAAAGATAGAGAAAACTGAAAGCTACTTGGTCGTACTTCTTAATGCCCTTGTCAAGCCTTCGTTGCAACCATAACAGTGTGGCAACGCGAGCTTTGTAAAGATTGCATGTCCTGGTAGGCTAGGCATGTGATTAGATTCCTTGTTGACTAACCCACTCAACACACGCCCGCGGCAGAAATATGCAACGCGTTGCTGTCGCGCGAGCGCACAAATCAATGTATATGCCAATGTAGCACGCGCTTGCGCCGATGGTCGTGTTCTGTTTTGATGTGCTGGGCAGTTGCTTGCGTAGCTTTGCCGTCATCCTGTCCTGGCGCAGTGCCATGATGGAACATGCCAGCGTGCGCGCCTACCTGTTGTGTGCTTGTGCTTTTTGTCATAGTTGTTGCCTGCGAAGTGTTTGCGTGAATGCTGGACCGCAGTGGGCACATACATTATGTCTTGTGGAAAGTGACCAGTGTTGGATCCTGATGGTTTCCACTGATGCAGCAGTGGGCGCTCCAAATTTCAGGGTTTTGCTAATATTTTTCGCCTGGGGGCTGAAGCCATCCTAGTATTCGATTATTTTCTCATGAATGCGACATCTGCAAGGCGAATTTCAATACAAACGTCTCAGGTACGCACTGGGAACCTGATGCTTGCAAGGTGAATGTCAAAACAAACATCTCAGGCGCGTTGGCAGGAACCTGATGCATGCAGAGGCTACAGTAAAATCATTCTCGACACAATGCGAGATTTGCAACTTGCAACACCCCCATCAAGGATCCCCAGATTTTGTCTTTTGGTGGTGTCCAAGATCCTCCTTTGGGTTGGGTGATGTTTGAAGGCGAAGGTTGTCTCAAAATAGGAACCCAACAATGATTGGCTTTGCTTTTTTTGCTCGTGAATGAATTCCGAAAAGGGGTTTCCCCTCACAAAGACATCCGAATCAACCTTTGTGAGCCGATTCTAATAAGGGTACCTTCAACTTGCATTAATTGCTTTCAACTCCTAGGCCGCGCAAGCGGCCGCCCTGAGCACCCTGGTTGGGGTGCAGGCTCGATGTGCACAGCTCCGAACCACGATCACGGGTACTCCGAACGTACTCCGAACCTCAAAACTGCGACCACATTTGGCTAGAAAATTGGTGGACGGGCTGTTGTTGCTTTCCATTTCCATTGATTCCAGAGACCAATTATCAAACCATTGCAGACGGTCAACTTGGCTTTCGGTTTGGGAGTCGTTTCGCCTTGCGGGATTCTAGCTTGGTTCACTGTAGTGAAGGGGAGCACCAACCCCCAACCAACAGCCGCGAATGGTTCCTGCGCGAACCCCAGAATAGGCGAACCTTTGCGACACTACTGTATCCCATACCCAGCGATTCGATGCACAAGTGTATGACTCCAAGGGAACCAGCCTTACTCCCAAAGGAAAATGCCGGGTGACCGGCTATGGGAACTGGGATCCTGTGGAATAAGTGGTGGCAGGTCTTCACACCCAGATCCCACACGGCAGCTTCAGCAGCAGCAGCACTGCGTCAGGTACAGCTGTAGTTAGGCAGGCTTGGGCAAACCGATGTCCGCATCCGTGCTATAGTTCTTCATGAGGAGTGAGAATATGTTCACCCGCAAACTGCTTCCCACGCTTGCCTGGAAATTGGGAAATCTGTGTTCTATCATTGTCCCGCGTCGAAAACCACGGCACGCTGGCGGGAGCTTAACAGAACCACAGCCCGCTAAGTGGCTGTCTCTTGGCGCCTTTGCGGTTTGTTTTGGAGGTAAAGCCAACGGGAGACCAAAGGGAACCAACATGAACAAACCATTCTTTTTTTTGGGGGGGGGGAGTTTTGGAGAAAGCCAAAGGGAGACCAAAGGGAGACCAAAGCAAACCAACCATTCTTTTGGGTTTTGGAGACCTCCCGCCCCCCTCGAAAAGCCAAGGGTCACCCTGGTCACCCTGGTCACCCAATCCGGCAGGTCCAGGGAGACGCCCGCGCAGAGGCGGGACTCCAACAGCCGCTTCAGGATGATCCAGTGGACTTTCTCGCCATTGGGCGATGGATCGGAGAATGTCAGAAGTGATCCAATACTGTGGATGGACAAAATTCTGCACCACCCAAGAAACCCTAGAATGATGATTCCCCTGTAAATACCAACAAACAATGGTTTCAACCATGGTTCCAAAGTGGTGCAGGATTTCGTCCGTCCCCAGTATGGATCCAATACCAGGTTATGAAGTGATCAAATGGCCAAGGGATCTGACGCGGCGTTTGGCGCCTCTTGTTTTTGGATAAGCCCTTGTGGGCCTCCGCGGCAATCCTCCCGACTCCACTCCCCACACTATATGGTACTTCCGAAAGGGAAGTCTTCTACGCGTCCTCTCAATTTCCTTCGCCGGGGTCGCATCCCACAATGCCTGAGCAGGCGATCCAAACGGTTGACGAGCTCATTGCCTTGAGCAAGTCCCTGGGGAGGCGTGAGACGGGACCGAGCTGCGCGTCTTTGCGTGTCGTACCACTTGATGTTTGAGTTGATTTCCCACAACCAGAGGGCCCAGAACTTTGGGACAGCTTTTGAGTGCCAGAAACTGAGGAATTTCTGGCTAAAGGGGTGAAGGCGCAGCTGTTTGCATGCCATGCTTGTCTGAGGAACAGGGGAGCACCTTCGAATTCCAAGCCGCTTTGTGCAAACCTCAACCCAAGTGACTCCAAAGTCCGGGCAGAGAACTCACGCTTCTGGCAGGCCAACTTTGAAACGGCACGGCGCATTCCGACGGAGTGTACTGGGTGGCGCGAGCCAGCGTGCAGGCCGGAGCAGGTGTCGGCCCTGTGCCTGCTCGCCAGCATTCAGGCAGGGAAGGCGGTCCCAACGCGTGGCCAGACGTGCCCCAGTAGTGCCGTTTTAACGTTTCTTTTTCGGGGGAGGGTTCACCTACTAACATGGACTACAGCAAAAAGGCTACCCTTATTCTAACCTCTCTACTGGAGGACCTAGACATATTCTTAGCCAGGTGACCTACAAGTCTGTTACAAGTCCTTACGAGTCCAAGTAGGGAGCCATCCCAAAACGAACAAGTATGCTCGGAAAGATGGACACGGCATTTTGTTCATGTGACCTTGTGGCAAAAGCAACGGGTACGGGTTTTTGGGATGCTCCCCACGCAGACTTGTACTGTTTGCTGTCTGGCCTACCATCCCTCGTGTCTGTTTATCTTCCGGCTGTACCATTTTTGAGGGTGAGAGCGCAAAACAGCAAAAAGGGCAGGCCGCCCATTTGGGGGGTGGGAGGCTATGCTGACGGGCGCCGCTCCCCGGTTCCACGAGCCATTGAGTCGGCTGACCGGCTGACCGGCGCCAGGGCAGCGGGGCAGAGGAGGCGCAGAAGGCCGCAGGGGAGGAGAAGCTGCTGCAGGCAGGAAGATCCCCCATTTTGGGGTCTGTCTCTCTTTTTTGCTTTGGAATTAGTACCCCATCTTTGGTTAGTTTAATCAACAGGACGTCAACAGGAAACGCCACCATGTTATGTTGGGGTCCCCCAACCGAAAAAAATGCAGGTGACATGGGCCTCCCCAATACGGCATGTTTTCTCCCAACACAGGGACCCACTGTGAGTGATGTTGTCCATGGCTTTGAGGGGGTGCTTGGGGTTTAGGGTTTAGGGTTGCTTTGACTTGGCGACAGGCGCTTCTTATACAATTGACTTTGCGATCCACTACATGCAATTTGGACCAGAATCATTGTATCTCATAGCGGTTCACAGGTACGCCAGCTACGGGGTTATAAATGCTGCTGGGGACACTGTGGGCAGACACTCTTTGGGCCTGTGTGGATGAGCTATTGAGTGTGAAGGGACTTGGTGCCGAACATTGCACAGGGAAGCCATGAACCTTCCAGCCATGCAAGCACCCAGTGGTAAAGGCTCATTTTCACGTTCTGTACGAAGAACAGAAGAAGCACATGATGTTTGAACAGCCAGTTGAATATGCACGGGGAGGTTCTCTGGCAAGTTTTTTCCTCGTGCAGTCAAATCAAAGGAGGAGCCACCCCAGACTTTCGCAAGGTGAACGCTTGAAGAGGTTCGCTAGTTTGGCTTGCAAAGCAATTTGAGCGTGGCACGGTTTCAAGCTTCTACTTGCCTACATTGTGGGAAACTATTGCAAGTCAACAGCCTCACACCCTGGCAATACTGGAGACTGAAAACCCTGCCAACATCAGCAGTCTATCCTTCGCATGAGTTGCAACAGACGAGTGGGGTAGCACTCGTAATTTGCGGATGGTTCCTCAAAAAAGCTTGCGAACTGGACAGCAAACTGCTTGCGGCGTCCTAAACATTTGTTGTCTGTTTTGTCGCGTAGCGGCCTTGTGCTTTATGTTCACGCTTAGGACACCTAAGTAGCAGCTTCCTCGAAAGACGTTTCCGTTACACTTGACTCAGGCGCCATCGCGAACCCCTTGCCTCTCCCACGGACGACCTCATGTTAAGCCAGGATGAAACACAGCCCTGGTTTGACAGAGGCGGTTCTGCATAAACACCTGTTTTCACATTTTGGGTCTAAACGGGCTTAAAACCCCCCGGACAACCCCCCGGACAACCCTCCGGACAGCTTTGAGGGCACAAAATCGGCGGGACAACTCCCCGGACAAACCCCCGGACAACCCTCCTGACAGCTTTGAGGGCCCAAAAGGCCAGGACAAACCCCCGGACAAATTCCGGACAACCCTCCGGACAGCTTTGAGGGGCCAAAAGCGCGGGACAAACCCCCGGACAAACTCCCGGACAACCCTCCGGACAGCTTTGAGGGCCCAAGAACCCGGGACAAGTCTTCGGACAGGTTCAAAACCACCCGGAAACCACCCGGAAACCACTCGGAAAACACTCGGAAACCGCTCGGAAACCACTCGGAAACCACTCGGAAACCACTCGGAACCCGATCAAAACCACTCGGAAACCACTCGGAGGGAAGTATTCTCGCGGGAGGGGGGGTGTGCAGCAGAAATCTCGGCAAAGTGCGCGGACAACCCTCCGGACAACCTTCCAGACAACCCCCCGGACAACTTGCCGGACAGTTGTTTGTCCAGCAGTTTGTCCCGCACTTTGTCGGGCACTTTGTCCCGCACTCTGTCCTGCAAATCGAGGGGGGTGTTTATGCAGAAGGGCGTTCATCAAGCCCTGGTTGATATTCATAGGGTTGCCCCATTTTGCAGGGGATTCTTCACTTTCTTTTTTTTGGAGGGGGGGCCGCCAGCGTAACTCAACCAGGGCCTGCGCAGATCCAGAGTAGTAATTACAAATGAGAGCAAACCCTGAAAGGAATTGATTGTTCAAGAAAAGGCGGAGGCTGATTCGGGTGGCTCGAAATTAACCTTCGCCGAGACGGCAGGTTGTAGTCCTTGTTTTCATTTACCGGGCTCCATTTCGTTTTTGTGGGGTACGTTTTCATTTACCAGGCTGGATTTGTTATTTTGGACCCACCCACCAATCCGGGACAGAAAGTCAGCTCTCCAATGTCCGACTCTGCACTCCGGAGGCGGAGGCTCTGTGCTGCTTGGCCCAGGCCGGATAGTTTGTCCAGCTTTGGATCTCGTGGAAACATTGCTTGAGAAGAATGGCGACCTTTCTTGTACCAGCGCCTTTTTCATGTTGCTTGAGACAAAGAGGGAGAGTGGGTTTCGGATAGCCGATAGTCTCAAGTTCATGGAGAGATCGGAGTCTTAACCCTGTACCCATGATCTTGCACATTTCTAGGGCTCCATGTCAAAAGCGAGTCAATTATTTCCCTCAACTCTGCGGCTCGGCGCTATCAAGTGCCCTCCCCTCAAAATAGCCCAGCGGAGGTCGACAAAGATAGCCAGGCGAGTTTGCCCACTTGGCAGGAGCAGTTGGTGCACAAGAAGTTGCCTGCCGAGGCGCCATCAGCGAGCGCTCAATAGCTGCATTAGGAACGGCCCCACATGAGCTTCGTTCAACATAATATCCGGTAATGGGAATCTTGGATGAACAACTGCCTGGTTGATCAATAGGCTCTGGTCCATATTGGCGGGACATACGGGCGCTATGTACAGTTTCCACAAAGCCAGCGGACCCCCTCGTTTTTCCATGTCCTCCTGAAAACACATGTGGGCATGTGTCCACTTTCGGTTTTCCTGTGCCTCCCCCCCCCACAAAAAAAAGAAACAGGTATCAGGTACCCGCAAAAAAGCCACACCCACGTGCAATTGTATCCGTTCATTCCCACCAGAATCTCCCGTCGCCAGGCCCTGGCCACCAGCCAGAAGGTCCTGAGCATCTTTGCGGCTCTGGGCGACGGCGTGGGTCAGGCCTACCCGATTCGAATCGGGCCGTAGGCTCAGAAAATGTGGCAACGAAGTTTAATTTAGTTAATGGGAACCCCCTCAAAAGTGATTGGTGGACACAAATCCCCACCTAAATGATGTCCACCAAAAGGTCCCTAATTAAAAATCATACCATACCCATGTCTCCCCCCCGAAGTTTTGTATGGAAGGTCGCTCCCCCACAAAAAAAAAAAAAAACACTTCTCATGCATTTTGTCCCAAGGGAACACATAATATAGGGAGGGGGCAGGTCCACGCTTTTCTTTGGGGGATGAGACAACTAGTGTCTGGGAAATGTCAAGTGGGCTCTTGGCAATGGACCCTCAATCTATTTCGCGTTCGTAACCTAATCGCTACTTAATCAGTGCACACGGGGATGTATACTGCATCCTTGTTGGCTTGATGGTCATCAGCAGCTTGGCATTTAGCTCCCCTTAGACAATGGATGCGGGATGAGCGAATTGGGATGTGTCTTCTGTCGCTTACCCTTTGTTTTTGCGGACTCCCCATGAATACCTCCCTACATCCCCTTGCCAGTTGGTTTCCCCATGGAAGCTCACCCTGTGGCAGAGGATCCTTGAATTGATTGCCAGACTCCTCGCTTGTGTTCCTGGTTCTCGGTGGCAAAGGGTTTTTGACGGCAACGATGTGCGGCTTACTTGGGTGGCAAGCAGATAGGTTTGGACAGGAAGTGGGATCTGTTTGTGAGTTGAATCTTGAGTGGCAGAGCTCAGGACTGTCAGTGCAGAGCTTTGCGTTATTTGAGGTGGTGGTGGTGGTGGTGGTGGTGGTGGTGGTGGTGGTGGTGGTGGTGGTGGTGGTGGTGGTGGTGGTGGTGGTGGTGGTGGTGGTGGTGGTGGTGGTTTGGTCATTTATCTTCTCACAAGCTGAAATGTTTGAAAGTTTCTAATCCAGAACATCAGAGCAGCTTGCTGGCTAGTGACAGTTTTTTTGCCTTGTGATGATAGGTCGGCTCTATTTATTGGCGGCTGCACATTTAACTGTGCAGGCTGCCGCAGGGTGCATGGTGACCACGTGCCACGCCATCCTCGGCCAGGCCGCGGGTCGCTAACCTGCGGTTCCTGGGTCAAACCGAGTGCTTCATTCTTCTCGATTTCGGAGGAACACAGGGGACGCACTAATTGTCTCTCAACAAAAATGACTCGCAATCCGTTCAATGTCCATTTGGGCATTGGGTCCAACTGTAAGATTCAATGGTCATGAATCAGGATGCTGAGCTGCAAGCTGTAAGGTGGCACCGATGCTGGCTTGAGGAACTCAATGAGTTGGGGTGTCTAATTCTGTTGGCTGATGGGATAGGTTGTTGCAAATGCCGTCCTAGATTTACTTCGCACTATTCTCTGAATTCAAGCAGCATCAGTAGGTTACTATTTTTTGAAGGAAGAGCCTCTGAAAGAACACATTCAAATGCACGCAACTGTAAAAAAGGGGATGTCCGTATTTAAGTGCCTTCAATAGTGACCTCTTTGTAATTGATTACACTGAGAATTCAAGAGGTCACTCGATTGGCTTCTTGGTGGGCAGCTCATCGAGTTTGGGACTCTGTCCAACTGGCAGCAGGATCCTTTTGTGTGGCCCCCTTGCAGGTGCAACAACAAAATACCGGGTCGGGGGAGACGGGGCGAGCCAAGAAAGGTGGGTGCAGCTGCCTGGGGCTCGCCACAATTCTTTGCCGGGTCCCAACGTTATCCTCCTGTCCACATGATCCTGGGTTGGACCATTTTCCCTTCGGACATCGCACGGCAGGTGTCGGAGTCTCTGCAGGCGGCTGAGGCCGCCCGTGCAGCCTGCCAGACGACGGAGGACAAGGCTGGCGAGGCGGGCACCCAACAGTCGCCCGGTAAGGGCGCCGTTTTCTGGTTGTGGCTCCAACCGTTTTCTAGAAAACACACAGATGGAACATGGCAGTGTCCAGAACCCGTGGAAGATCATCCAAAATGTGGGTTTGTGCTCCACTTGGCTGGAGGAAGGTCTGCAAACTGGTGTGTAAGCCCAGAGGCAGCCTTTAAGAGGGAAAGCGCCATCCAGCTGCTTCGAAAGCGGTCCGAAATGGCTGGCTCGCCTTTTTGCAGGTACCCTTTTTGGCCCGGTCTGAAGGGACACCAAACGGACACCGCCATTTTTGTGTGATTTTCCCTTTCTGAGACAAACCCAAGTAGCGAGGGTTCCAGTTAAGTTTGGCCTTGGATCACCAGTGATTCCGATTTCCACTCGCATACCCAACTTGAAGTGACACACCAAAAGCCTGGCTGCGATTCATGACCTTCTCCCCGTTTGACGGAAGTACATGACCAATATACATTGAGATGGGAGCCAAGCGGGCAACGAGTCGGAGGGTACTTCCATTCTTGGATGGTCAACCACTTTGGAGGTTATAACCGTTGTGCTAACCGGGGTTCAGTTTTCTTATAACCATTGTGGTTGCAACATACATGTATTCTTGCACCTGCAGATGAGCATAGAGCCCCCAAAACCACAATGTTTGGAGGAACATCCTTCTGACAGAACCACTGTTTTGGTTCCTCGTGAGCTAGATCCACGGTGGTTGGACCTAAGTTGGTGAACTCACTAAGATACGACCCGGGACGGTTGCCCATAGTTCTAATATCTAGTGTGGATGGAAAGTATATTGGATCAGTTGGGGTTGGTGAAACCCTAACATACATGTACTGCACACTTCGCTGGTACCATTTAACCAAAACTTTCGCCAACCCCGCCTATCTAAGCTCCTTCCCTTTTGGTGCCCCCAAGGTAAACATTCAAACCCACCTTCAGGCTATCCACCTTGATCTTTGGTGCGACAGTAAAAACGCCCCTCAGACCTGTTGGAAACCAAATGGGTTTTGCCATAAAACCCACAAAAGGTCTGGGGACGACATCAACTTTTGCTCCAGACCTTGGGGCAACGTGATGGATTCCACGTCAGGTGCTGGCACGGCAGTGCCACATCCTGGCGGCGCTCACGGCCTCGCGGCCGGCGGAGGCGCTGGCGGCGGCGCGGGGGCTGGTGGGCCTGTGCCGGCACTTTGAGGACGGAGTGAGTGAGGGGTGGCGATGGACAGGTGGCTGTGGTTGGGGAGGAGGGGAGGAGGGGAGGAGGAGGAGGGGAGGAGGGGAGGAGGGGAGGAGGGGAGGAGGGGAGGAGGGGAGGAGGGGAGGAGGGGAGGAGGGGAATTTGTTAGGGTTTATGGGTGACAGAAAGGTTTGCGCGAGCGCAAGGGGGACGTGGAGTTCGATTTGTGTGCAGAGATCGACCAATGGCGCTGGGATCCCTTTGGGCCATTGCCCTCTCACCATGAAACCCCCTTAGAGGAAAACTATTTTCAGAGAACCCCAGTCAAGGGTAGCACAAGGCAATGTAATCTCTTGGACGCCTTGCTGTGTTTCATCCAATTTCACCACCATGTCTGGCTTGTTCTTTTGTAGGAGTTTCACTACAGGCTTGCTATTTAGATTCTAGAGTGTTCATTGTTCACTTTCCACACCTTGCCACATCTTCAAATTGGTTTGGTCGTTCATTTGGCCTTCCTGACCGCGTGGGCTCCTTGCGTAATTCAGATTCCTGCCCAGGCATGTCCTTTCTTTGGAGCTGGCCGCCTCGTTGGGAGCAGGATAAACAAGTGACAAAGTAGTCTTGGTATCGGATTCAAGCATTGTTTGGCGCCATGTTGGGCTTCTTGAACAAGGGAAACATGTTGGTCGGATCAATCCGGGGAAGCTCTAGGCTCCCAGGGACACCAACTCCTGTTTTGGGTGACCCTAAATGGACTCTGACAAACAGGTTCAAGGATGGTGCAAGCTGGAATCTGTTCATTAGAGCCCCTTTGGCGACGCCTGACTGGCATTCTTGCTCGCCATGTTCCTGACTCACATCCAGGTGGTATCCCCAACAGCACCCCCCTTCGCACCCCTTCCCGAACCCTGACCTGGTGGTGCTCCAAACCAGTCCCAAGCTCAAAAAGGTGGGATTTTTAGGGCCCGTCTCTGTGATACCCAGTGGATTTTCATGGGACATGGCCGTGTGAAACGGCATCGCAGCAGGACCAATCTGCGGAAGCCTGGGCGCTGGTGGAGCTTGCCCGGCTGCATGTGGCCTGCGATGACCCCATCCAGGTTGGCATGGCTTTGCTTGTCGGCTGGTTTCTTGAGATTTGTTGCATATATATATATATATATGTTATTTCATTTGGTTTTGGTTGGTTGCGATGCTGTAGGCTTTTTCATTGGTTTGGTTGAAGGGTATGGGCGTTTGTGGGGTTTTCGTTTGAGGGTTCGATCGTATGGAGTTCATTGGTTCGAGCCTTTGAAACTGTTTCCGAGTCGGCCTTCTAGCTCCGCGTTGTTGCAGTGAAGTTTGACCTCCAGGATCAACCCTCTCGGGCGGTGTCATGGCACTTCGAGGGCAGTTTAAAAGGCATTAAATGCCCCAAGGTTGCAACATGGCCATGCGTCAAGGGGGGCGGGCCTCAAAATGTCCAGCGGGTGTTTCCTTTGGTTTCAATCTTTAGCCAAGCCCAACACGGGCACCCCAACAAAATGAATCCAAACACACCCAATGGACCCGCAAGTTGGGGCCCCGGGACCTCCAGGGCGTGCGCTGCGCGGAAGAGGCGCTGGCAACCGCCAAGAGCGCACCTCGGGCGAACCAGTCAGAGGGCTGGGAACTGCCCGGGTCCCACTATTTGTGCACACGTTTTTGGAGGCTTCGTCCAGGTGTTTCACTTGTTTCTCTTGTTTGTTTCGTTCTCGCTGGACATTCGTGGTATATACTTGTGGCCACTGTAATGTCTGCCATATGGAACATCACTCGGGATCATCCGGCCGTGACGCACGCTGGGATAAAAGCTATAAAGCTTTCTCATCGCACAGCCTTCCTGTCGCGGTGTCTCTGAAAGCCCGTAGGGCCGTCGCCGGCAGCCCCCTCTCGGCGGCGGAGTTCGGCCTTTTGCGATGTACTCCCCACGCCTTGACAGTGCGGACAAATTCCAAAAGAGCCACAAGCAAAACCCGGTAGATGAAGGTTCGTAAGGGATAGTCCTAACCATAGGCCAACTGCCGTTTAATTCTTTATACAGCCATGTGAATACCAGGTTTTGATTGTGACTCAGAAGGCCATTCGCAAAGGTTTGTTGGAGCCTAATTAAGCAACAATGCATCCACTTGCGTGATTTCTTGCGTGGCCTTTTTGCACAGGCCGTGCATCGTGCGTGTCGGCGGGCCCACATGAATACGCGGCAAATAAATGCGGCCTCACTCAAAGCTCGTGGTTCCGCACCAATCCTTGGTGCCGGATGCATGAGGTCTCCAATCGTGACTTCTGGCATAGCAAGGATGCCATAAGTCACGTCCTTCGTAATGGCCTGTACACCTGGACGATCAGATAAAACCTCACACATGAAGCCATGCCCCGTGCCACTTGATATAAATTCCCGTTTTGATCTCCAGCCTTTGGTGCAACTTACCTGCTTGTTTCGCCCTGGGCGATACGTACTCACATTGGCTGCGCCCACTTGCTACCATTTACTGAATTGATGTCACACTTGCTCTTGCCACTCGTGGCAATTGCCGTTTGGCAACGTGTTGTGCACGACAGTGCCCGATCGAGATTGAACCTGCCTTGAGATGCACATCGATTTCGCCAAGCCGGTACCTTGAAGCTGGCTCATATGACATCTTCACGCGTAGAGTAGAGGACATCCGCTTGAAGAATAATGATGTATATAATGCGTGGCATTCATGACATTTGGTGTACTAAGTCTATGATTTGCGCCAGGTGCTACGAGTTGCTGTTCAGTGGGCATATTCAATATCAGTATTATTGTTTCTCATCGCTTATGCGAAATGTGTCCTTGCCTTCAGCGTTCTACTCCCCTGCAGATGCACATGACCTCAACAAAGGTCCCAAAAGCAGGCTCCTGTACAAATTGATGGGGGGAGTGTGTTCTGCAGCAAGGAAAAGGGGGTATGCAGAAATGGGAGATGCCCACATTTTAGATGTCTTGTTCAAAGCGACATTACACTGAAGCTAATCGGGACAACCAGAAAGTTCACTGGTTCCTCTACAAAGTGATGTTGCTTAGTGAGGACGTCAATTTCGTATGCCCTTTTGTCAAACTTCTGATTTGTAAAAACAAAACATCAAACGCGATTTGCGGCTCCACATGTGCTTGCAAATGCCTCGAGGTTTGCGTGTTTCTGTCGGTATGGGATGATGAAACCAACAACTGGGCAAATGGGCAGGTTGCGCCACCTAATTACGAACCGCTGGTGACGATGCAAAGCAAACAGGAGCCAGTTTTTGTTTCTAGCTAAACTGACCTGGAAAGAACACCTGGATCTGCGGTGTCCAAAGCCCACTGAGTTATTTCCAATTGTCAAGGAAGGCGAACCCTCTGCTCACGGAACCCTTGATTGGTGGTTTGCTTTATGAACCCGTTCTCACGGAGAGAAAACGGCGAACCGTTTTTCCCCACCCCCAATCCACACCCTCAATCCAAACCTCCAATCCAACCCACCGAAAACTCGCCAGATCAGACGGAAGCTGCTCTTCTGCCCCCAATCCAAACCTCCAACCCCCCCCCATCCAATCCACCGAAAACTCCCCAGATCAGATTTAGGTGGATTTTTCCAGTACATGGGATGCATAGGATATAGGACAAATCCGATCCACCAAACTAGAAGTAGGATGTCCCACCCAACCCCACCCCACCTCACCCCACCCTGGGTTCCCAAACTTCGCTTCGCTCCCGAGGCGCCGCTGGCGGCCAAGGGCGCGGCCCTGGCGGGCCTGGCGCGCCTTCACCGCTGCCGGGACCGCCCGGCGCCGGCCCGGCGCGCCGCGGAGAAGGTCAAGGAGCGGCGGGTTGGGGGGCGGGGGGGGGGGCTGGGAGGTAGCATGGGGGTTTGTGACATGATGACCAAATGGCTGTGGCTCAAATAAATGTACCAAAAGGTCCTAAGATACACATCCCAAAAAAACCATCTTCTAGAAACACAGATTTGGGTGTGCCTTTGGTCCTAGGATCAGTGGACTTTCGAGAAACACCCCTTTGAATGGCTGGCTTTTTGAGGGCGCCGGGGATTTCCTGATAAACCAACTCAAAAAGGGTTCACGTCAAAAGAGTGGGGTTTTTCAAAGGTCCGATTTTGGGATGCCAAGGGGAAACCAAAAAGGCAAGCGCAGAGCTAGCAGGGGGAAGGGGCAGTCGGGTCCCAAGGTGTGCTGATTCGTTTCAACATGACACGTTCAAACCAATCTTTTGTCTGACAGCCATTTTGGTTCAGAGCGCAAGTACACTATCGACCGCCTTCCAATCGAGTCACTTTGTCGTTGGAGACACTCTTCACATCGACCCAAACTGCAAAGTGCATGCTTCCTCTTGGAGGTATGGATTTCAAAGTTGTCTCACAAAAGGCAAAGGACACACACACACACACAATGGCTTTCCTTGGTAGTGGTTTCCGGGAAGACTAGCAGAACTTTTTGAATATGTATCTCAGACTGGCAGGCACCATCTCAGACATGTGGCTCTCCTGTGAATCCATGTCAGGTGGTGGAAACCATCTCGGCGCTCTAGTACACATGTCTGAATATTTTTACCCTCAGCACGACCTCCCCATGCAGACTCCGGAGAATCAAGGACTCTTCAAACAATCAGCCATTCTTGAGGACCCCCCAAAGGCAGTCAGCACCCTTAGAGGACCCCACAGGCTCTGCAGGGGTCCCCGTTTTCCCTCCCTTTTTGTAGTTTTAAAGATCACCATCTTGGCTTTTCTTCGGGGTGATGTTTTCAGGTTGGAAACATAGGGAGCCAAACAACAAACTCCCATATTGTAGTCAGGTTTCCCTCCAAGAAAGCAGCTGAAGCCCTATGTTAGCAGGTTTTCATCAAGGGGAAGCCTATGTTTCCAGGACACCAACCCGAAAAAAAAGAAAGAAGGGGAAGCCCCTCATGGCCTTTTTGTTTGCCAGGAGCTGCCTGGCCGGGGCGCCAACGCCTTGGCGCCGGGCCGCGCCGGCGAGGCCCGGGCCCTGCTGCTGGCGGCGACCCTCGGGGGCCAGGCGCGCAGACCCCGCGCCGAGCCGCCGCGTCGGGCGGGAGCCGCCTGTAAGCCATACACGTGGAGTGTGCGTGTTTTGCCAGACCTGGCTTTGGTTTGCGTGTTTTGCCAGTGTTTTGCCAGAGGGTGTTGTGTTTCTTTGGCCGCGGGTTTGAGGCTAGGTATCTCTTCGGTGTGCTTCAAACCTTGTGGATTGAGTCAATGTGATGCATTGACGCTTCCGGAGATCATTGGTTTCAATCTTTGCAGTGCACACATTCTGCTTGGGTTCGGTGTTGGCTGCCTGGCTTGCTTTGATTGAGTCAGAAATATTTCGCAGGTGACAGCATAAGCAACTCTAACACATGTTATTGTCCCTGGTTCTCCTTGGCCTCTTTTGGTAACCATCGCACGTATACTTGCTTGGCTGTGCATGAACTCCCCAGAATTGCTATTGGCAAGACCTTGGATTGGTGACACCATTGTTCATTGTTTTGAGCCCGTGTTGGCTGAGCAGGATGCCGGACACCCAAAGCCCAAATTCGAAACAATCCGATTGTTTTGGGGTGGGTATGTCCCCCCAGATTAGCTGTCTCACTGCCTGAGTAATTGTTGGAAGGCCATTTTGGTGGCGAGCAAACAGTTGAAACTGGTTTGGGGCAATCCACTCTGGAAGTGAATATTTTGCCCAGCAGCAAGCTTTGGTGTCTCTGCCCATACCGGGGGTTGCTTCTTGGCTGGTCTTTAGTGTGACCGAATCGCCCCTCAGACCTTTTGGACACAACTGGCTTTGGACATCATCACAGCTGCCCTCCTTCAAAGGAGGTGCAAAATGACACTGCAAAACCAAAACAAATCAGAACCTCCCAGAATGCTCAGTTTATTTAGCCCAGTCTGAATTGGCCTTCCGACTTTCAACGGCTGCAGGCCCATTCTGTTGATCCGCATCCGTTTGGTGGTTTGACGGCTGGTTGCCCCGTGCTAACAAGAGGGTTTCGACTCCCGCAACCGATCCAAGTCACACCCTGGGCTGCTCGTTGCTGTGGATAGGGCCATAAGGTCTGAGACATCAACTTCTCAGGGCTTGGAGCAACCCAGGATACCACCAGGCCATGTGAAACCACTGCATTGGCTTCTGAAGGCGGCCCTGGGCCTGGCTTCAGACGCCCAGGCCAGGAGAGGTGAGTTTCCTGGAGGGTTCAGGGGGTGTTTAGAGTGGGATGTGGATTCAAGGTTCAAGATGACTGTCTCCTACACTTGCAGACTTTTGTAGATATTCAAAGAGACAAAGTGTTAAGCCAAGCATTTGTTTCAGCGCAATGATAGGTCATACCCGACATGCTTTCGCCCTACTCCTTTCAGGGTGTTTGTTGATGTCTGTATTTGGTTAGCGGATGCTCGGAGTAGCTTGTTGGGGAGTTAGGCCGTCCGGTTCTGATTCCCTGCCACCGCAGTTTGCCTAGAGATAGCCATTTATTGGATTGATCACTTGTTGGTTCCGGGCTACATGTAACGCGGGATGATTCAACAAAAACATCTGACGGAAAGCCTTAGCTCGTCCACTGCTTGCTTCTTGGCATCATTTGGTGGCATCTAACGCCAGGAGCAGAACACGGGCGACACCCTTGGGCTGTTTGGAGTTATGTTCATCAGTGACACACCTCACGTTTTTGAACCCCAGCATTCCCAGCCACGCCTTTTTCCTGGCCACGCGCCAGACTCTGATGAACGGCGTCAGGGACAAGGTGGGTGAGGCTTCTGCGCCGCTGAGCCGCATGCGATCCAATTTTTGGGGATAGGCAGAGTCGCATGACCCCGGAAGAACCCTCTCGTTCGCTCACTAGGAAAGTTTGTTTTGTTTTTTGTGGTGATTCCTTGCTTGCAAAGCGACCCCCTCGAATGAAGAACTGAGGGGTTTGTTTAATTTGGGCTCAACATTACGGGGTGAATTTGGGGGATGCTTCCTCAGAAACACAAAACCAAATGATGCATCAACAATGGTACGCCCTAATCAATCAGGGTTTAGTAATCTTGGATTCTCTTCTTGCAGCCCTTGGCCATGTGCAGTCCCCTTACATGGTTCACCGCTTCTACCCCTGGTGTTTGCAGAAGGGCTTCCTTAGCACCATGCTGTTTTCATGCTCAGTTCCGAACTGAACTCCGCAGCCCAGGTCAAAACCGATCCTGTGAACTGGTGATTTCATCACTGTACAGGCCTACAAACTGCCAGCCCTCAGGACCCACACCAGTGCTATTTCGCCTGGAAGAGTCGTTTTGAAAAGGCACCTTGTGGACGGCGGCGAGTTTCGTTCTCGGGCGATGCCAAAGGTTTGGAATCATTGCCACACATTTTGACAGGGCACCTCAGAAATGGTGCTTGCATTAAAACATGACAAGCTTCCCACCGCCATGAGAGCCACAATCAAAACCTGGGTAGATGAAGGTTACCAAGGGAAGGTCCCAACCAGAATTAGGTGCGGCCGCCGCTCTAGTTCTTTACATTGGTTTGGGTCGACCATGTCAACACCAGGTTTTGATTGTGGCTCATCTCCTTTCAACTGCCCACCCCCCGGCCAACAAGTTATCAATCGGGGGGGGTCCTTCCAAAACAAGCACAAACTAGCGTCGAGCCCACGAGAGGCCGATTTTCCCGGACCCCCCAGCCATGGATCCCCGGGGCCTCTTCCGATGGATGTCGCTCTCGGCCGACGAGGAACTTGGCGCGGGCCCAGATCTTGGCGCAGCTCCGGGACTTCGCCTCCGCCGCGGAGGCGGCGCAGGAGGCGGCCACGGGCTTCAAGGCCGGGAGATGGGGGCAGGCAGGGGGAGGCTTCTGGCCGCGGGGGGGATGCGGGGGGAGGGGGGATGTGGTGGGATGTGGTGGGATGTGGTGGGATGTGGTGGGGGGGTAGGGTGAGCCAAGGGGTTCATTTGGAGGAATCACCTTGGGAGACATCGACATTGCGTAAAACGATAAAACACAAATGCGGAACTCCAAAAGGAACGCTCTGAAGTCCTGAAGTGGCAAGGTGTTGCTGTATGATTGGTCTTCGGAGCGTTGCATGTTGAGTTGGGGTTGAATGATGTATGACGTCGTTGATGGATAGCAGGAAGCATGAAGCACACGAACCCCATCTCCACAGCTCGGGCTTTCAGGAGCCTCCCATCAGCTGCCACGTTTGTGGGAAGGGAATCATGTGCCACAGCTACGTCCACATGCATCGGGCCTGTCACAGGTCACAGGGGATGGTCATGACCCCCTTCATGCGTCCCTTCTTGCTGGCTGACTGGTTGACTTCAATTTCGACCCCTACTACGTCATCATCCTGTCTGGATCGAGGAGACCCTATAAATGGGATATACCACCTGTTACCAACCGGTGCCTATACTTTGGGTCTTGGCTATCCACGGTATCATCTCTTGTGTGGGGAGGTCGCGAGCTTTGTTTCGGAGACTTGCGGCTTCTTTCAACGCGGAAAACGTGCAGGTACCGGGCTCCAGGCGATTCCACGGAAGCTTGAGGGCCCTTTGGAAGGCGGATGTTGCTCACTACCTGAAAACTTCTGACTCACTTAGCATTTGTGGGTGGTGTGTGCGTGCGTGTCAAAATGGGGGCAATCTGAAATGGATGGTTTCCCTTTGGTGTCCCTTTCGAGCAACCTCCCTCCCGCTGCCACTTTGAGGTTGGCTCCTGTGGTGTCGGAGAGGCGCGACAACTCGCGGGGGCCTGGGGCTGGCAGGCCGCGGATGTTTGGAAAGGAACATGAAGGCGACTGTTTTTTGAAGGATTTTTGTTGAGAGCGGCCCGCCATGGGGCCTGTGTTTTTGAAATCAGCCTTTTTTACACCTTGGCGTAGATGGATGCACCTTTACTCGCACTTGCGGTCTTTGTTTGTTTTTTGGAGAAGGCCACCCACTGCAAGCATCTTTCCTGCCCTTCTGTTCTCTTTTTGGGTGGTTCAAAGGAAACCAGTGAAAAACCACCCAAGTTGGGGGGGGTCCCATTATAACAACCCAGAATAGGTCGGAGTTTGTTTTTACAAGATTCAATAATGCAGGTTGGATGTACTTGTTTGTCAGAAGTTTCTTATGAAGACGTCAAGAGCTTGAGAGCTTGACAATGAAGTGCGAGTTATGTCCTTTTGTCCGATGGCTGTGATGCATATTTGCAAGTAGCGTAGTAGTATTTGACTTGCGATGTAATTATTATGCTTAATTGGATTCCAATGCCAAACATACAGCCGAACCACTCAACACACACACACACACCCGACATATTGGACGTGTCATTTACCGGCTCCAACACCTGAATCAGAGAACCCCCTATCAGCCATTTGTTTGGGGGGATGGAAGGCTATCCCTGTGCTTTGCCTGATGCGTGGCATTATGTTGCAGACGACAGCAAGCATGGGCTCTCCCAGGCATCGAGCCACAGTCAGACCTTTTCATTGTTTCGTTTTCAGATTGGAAGTACGCAAGAAAGACTATCTGCATCCACGGAATCCGTATTATGAATGTCTCAAGCACCATCATTCTGAAATCTGGATCTGCTAGATTCCAGATGGGAAAGAGCCGTTTCGTTTGGCTTCTTCATTTTGCACGTTCACGAAACTCCAATATGGATCCCCAACGTTTTTTTTTTTTTGGTCAAATGAACAGACACACACACAATGTGGTGACAACACACACACACACACGCACAAAGCGTACCATGCTAAACAACCCATGCGCGTGACTCGCCCCATCGAATCGCATTTGCTTCGAGGGCGTGGCTCGTTGCGAGCTGGCCACCATCCAGCTGCTGATGGAGGACAAGGCAGAGGCGGAGAAGACGGCCAAGGACCCCGGGTGCCATGGACGGATGCGCTCGGTTTGCTGGCGAACAGAAAGTGTGCGGGACAGTCGATGTTTGTTGGGAAACCAAGATTCTGACATGCGGAAAAAGCAGGAGGTCGATTTCTTTTCTGGAAAACCAAGATGAGGTTCTGTACAAATAGCAGGTTGGTGAGATGGCCAGGGTGAGTTGCAGAACTTGAAGGGGCTTTTCTGTTGGTTTCAAGCAGCTTCAAGGAAGCTAAGCATTCTGGAAGGTTGTTTGCAACATGCCAAAACCGCCAGAGCGCAAGGTCCTCTTGGGGAGACTCAAAGGATGTGGCTTGAACCAAAATGTAGTGGTTAAAACCAGTCTTATGTATCCTGGCAACGCGGCTGTCTCCCCCACCCTTCCACCAGCTCCAAAGGAGCCCAAAGGAGAGTCCTCAGTTTGGTTTTGTTCGTTCCACGTTGAGGAGATGCAATTGTTGTTTGATAACAAGTTAGGGGACGGATATTCATCTCAAAAGGAGCAGCCTGCTGTTCGTTCACTGTCGCATTTTTGTGAGGTGCAGGCTTCTTCCAAGCTCTCTTACTTGTGCAGTGGCACCCTTCGTCCCTTGTGTTGGCATCTCCACTGAAAATGGTGAACCCCAAAGAACTGCTTCCATTTGTTGCCACGTCCTCACCCTCCAATTCTGTGGGTCGGCGACGCAATTTTTCAGGAGGCGCTGCGGGCCTTCCATCAGATCCGACAACTTTCGGCACGGGGGCTTACTCGAACCGACTCGGCGAAGTCTGATTCCAAGATCCGGGGCAACCCCTGGTTTGTGGCTTTGCAAGGGAAACCAGCAGGAAACAGGTCGTATGGATCTGTGACTTTTAATGGAACAGCCTCAAAAATGGTCGGTGCACATAAATGTCTCTGTAAACATTGTCTATTTCACATGGTGCCCAATTGAACATGTTTTACCGTATTGCTGGTTGTTTAGTTGAAGTGGCTGTTTTGGCTTGAGATACTTGATAGCCATCCCTCCCAACGTGGCACCTGACTGACAGGTGGTCCCTTCAAGAGGAATTCATCTTCCAAATACCTTCGTGCCTTCTGTCAGGACGGATGGGGTCAGCATTTGAACCTGGAGGTGTTTCCCTTTACCCTTGTTTCGTGTAAGCCATATAAAACGATGAAACGGGTACCTCCCATTTTCAAGCGCCGGGGACGAGCCTCGCCCGACTCGATGGGAGCCCGAGGGCCTGAAGAGCTGCAGCGCGCAGCTCGGGGAGAACCGGGCGAGGCAGCTGTTGTCCCACGCGCAGCTCAGCTGCCTGCAGCCCAGCAACGCCAGGCCCAAAAGCAACCGAAACGGAGCGTGCCCAGTCGGTTTGGTGGGCGTTTTGACCCGAATCCTGCGCTTTGGTTGCTGCTTCATGGGTCCCCCACCAAACAGAAGAGATGTGTTGGTGGTCTTGAATTCCCTCATGTTTGGTGTGGTTCCGCAACAAAACCTGGAAGCAGCCTTTGAAGTCCTCTTGCCGGTGAGGGTCACTGGGCAACAGTGTGTTGTTGTGGGACCGAGAGGTATGTGGTGGCCGAAGGTTGGTGAGCGGCCGATGTGACAAGCAGAACAGTTGTTCGAAGTTCTAGCTGGAGTTGATTCCGAAAATGCACATTTGCTCGTTCGTTGCAGTGGTGTCTGAGGGTTTGAGATGCCTTTTGTCGTGCTCTACCTCTTGGCCTTTGCCTAGATTTTGGCTCCTTCAATTGAAGACCAAGCAAACAAACCTCAAGAGCAAACATAGGAGGGAAACGCGCTTTGCATCCCTGTCTGGGCCTCAATGCGCTTCACGGCTCTTGGCAGGCTCTACCTGGATGAGTTCAATTGTGCCCATTTGGCAGCTCGGCTCGGAAGTAGTGCTCGGATCATATCACTAAGTGCTAAGTAGCCCAAGGATTCGGATTTCCCCAAAGGACACAGGGGGATAGGTAGTCGTTTCATTGTTCCAAGCCCCCTATGTAGTACCCAAACCCGCACACCCCATCGATCCCTCCAATCGCGCAGTAGCAGAGTTGCGCTCAGGAAATCAGTGAGACGGCCTCCCAGGAGCGGTTCCGTAGCCGATTTGGCGAAGACAGGGTTGGGCAGTTGTTTGCTAGGGACAGGAGGTGTGCTGGTTTGGTTTGAACAGGTGCTGGATGTGAAGTGACGCCTTCCTTTTGACCATCACCCGAGCCCGCAAACAAATGGGGCCCCTGAAAGGGTTCCAGTTGAGCCTTCCTGTCAACTTCCGGATTTGCTGGAGGCTCTCAAGAGAACTCAATATTTGACGCATCATGCCAAATCAGGTGAAGCAAAACGTTGAAACCCAGCTGACTGCAATCTAGCGTGGGTACATCTGGCGTTTATTTTTGTTTCGCTGTTTCCTGAAAGTGAGCTGTCCTCAGCTGAAGTCACAGGTGTTCAGTTGGGTCAGTTTCGACGATCGGATGGCACTACTGGCTTCAATCACTTGCCATTGGAACCCTGAGTTTGTTTTTACACAAACGGAGGCCTTGGGTTGAAGTTCTCAACTGCCAGTTGCCAGGAGTCCCTCGAATCTGCGGTCGCCACCTTGCACAACATGCAGCGCCTGCGGAACAACGTGAAGGCTGGGGCCAAAGCTCTTGTGGCTTGCCCAGCATGGCTCTTGCATGCTATTGGGTTGGATCTGCAACCTTTTACTTTTTAAGCGGAAATGATCGTTTTCCCACCAACCTCCGAAGGTTGGTGGAAGATTGCCATCAAGGTTGGTCCTTTGTCCTGTGGCCAGTTGGCGGTCGTCGCGTGCGAGCCAGGCGGTTGTGTTGCACCTGGAGGGCGCGGTGGGCCCAGCCAGCATGCACAGCCAAGCGCTGACCAGCGGGAACTTCTTGGTGGGCCTCCGGGCCATCAGCGCCTCTGACGGCTATCATTGAAACACACCCGACCGGAGTGGGAACCCCCAAAATGGGTGGTTTCCTTGTGGTGTCCTCAAGGGTACCCTCGAAACACACTTAGACACAGACACTGGACACAGATCACACGCCCCTGCCCCGCCCCTGCCCCCGCCCCCGCCCCCGCCCACACACGCGCATGCGCTCGCGCCCGCGCCCGTGTGCGCGCCCGCGCACGCGCCCGCGCACGCGCACACGCGAACACCCGCGCACAAACGCACACGCACACACAGGCACACAGGCACACAGGCATACAGGCATACAGGCATACAGGCATACAGGCACAAAGGCACGCAGGCTTGCAGACACGCAGGCACACAGGCACACAGGCAAACAGGCACGCAGGCAGGCACGCAGGCACGCAGGCAGGCACGCAGGCAGGTACACGCAGGCACCCGAAGGCATGCGCACGAACGCGCGCGCACGCGCGCGCACTCGCTGATCGCACATCACATACACCACACACACACACATCACACACACACACACACATCACACACACACACACATCACACACACACACACACACGCACATCACACATGCATCACACATACATCACACATACATCACACATACATCACACATCACCCGCACCCGCACACGCACACGCACGCGCACGCCCACACACACACACACACACGCACATCACACATGCATCACACATACATCACACATACATCACACATACATCACACATACATCACACATCACACGCACCCGCACACGCACACGCACGCGCACGCCCACACACACACAACACACAACACACAACACACAACATACACAAGCACAGTGGCTACATGGTGGCTACATGATTCCCGCAATCGGATTTTGCTGGCTGTTTGTGGACATACTTGCAGGCCCGTTCTCTTGCCAATCATTATCCGAGAGTCTCAGAGATGGAATGCTTGGTGTTGCGATTAGATCTGAAACTATGATGTATATTAATATATATATATATGTATATATTGTTTATGTCCTGAGGTCTCGCTGCTCGCCGTGGCAAAAGCCAGCTACAATTGCAACGTGACAGTTTCGCAATCACCATGGCATACCATGGCCCCAATTTGTGGGTAAGATGCCTGTGTGTCACTGGTGGAAACCATATGTTCGAGGAAGTGAGTTGTTTGAACACGGAAGGCCTAACATGGCAAGTGGCAAGTCCAGGTGCTAGGTGCAGCACTGCCTGCTATGGACGGGGCAGCTAAGAACAGGTTCTCAGTCCTCATAAGCCTGAGGAAGTCATGGTGGCCTCACAAAGGGGCCCTCATTTCGGATATGTGAATCATTATTAGTAAGTCACGACACAAGTTTGGTAAAGTCTCACACGTTGGCCCTTGCTTGAGGGCAAGGTTTAACATGTGGTGCATGTGTTGCCGACCCGGTGTTTTAATACCTCATATTTTGAGTTAGGCACGTTCGTCACGTTCGCCGCATTTCGAAATGCCACTCATCCCTTGGCTTCCGGAGGCATCCCCATCGTGTCAGCCGCCTACGGCAAGATCACGGGGCCCTCGTGGAATCTGCTGCTGGCCTGTGACTACCGCATCGCCGCGGTGGACACTTCCTTCGTGCTGCCCATCGTGTCTCCCCCGGCCGGGGCCTCGGGTCGAAGATGAGCTGGAGGTGGCACCTGTTGGCCACAGGTCGCTGTTTGGGTGTGGGATCCAAGGGCCTTGGAGCTTCCGGCGTTTTCAGTTGCGCACAGGTGGGAGGGAGCGGGAGGAGGGTCGTCGGGCTGCCAGGTTGAGTGATCCAACGGGCAAGAGGAAGGGCCTTTGTTTACCGGCTATCACGGTATGCTCATCGCCTCGCATCCATGGGGTCCGGTTGGTGTTTGCACAAGCGTTGCCCCTCCCAAAATCACGCAGCCCTTATTTGTGGTTTGGATTGGTTTGGGGTACAACCCCCTGGTTCTGGAGACCAAATAAGGTTTCCCACCTCCAACCAAACTACATGTTAGCCCCGGATTGATTAAGCCCTTGATTTTGATTGGGGGGTGTCCCCTTTCAGACTTTCCCTGCAGCCAACGCATGAATAAACTTTAAGGTTGGTGATTTTGGTTGGGCGTCCCCTTCCGGGGCTTCAGACTGGAGTCACCGGGGCGCGCGCTGATGTCGGGTGAGGAGTGTCTGGGCGAGCTGGTGGGCGCGGCCATGGCCAGCCAGCTGTGCATCAGCAGCGGGGTGCTGGACGCGCACTCGCTGCAGGAGCTGGGGATCCTGAACCAGGTGAGGCCCAACAAGGAGAGGGGGGGGCAGGAAAAGGGAGGGGAGGGGGAAGTGTGGGCGTTGGAAGTGGGGGGGGTGGACTTGGGGGGGGAATTTGGTTCGGTTTTTTGCACGGGTATTCCACGATTGCTCAACTTGGATGCTCAGGCAGGCACGGCTGATTTTCAGGTGTTGTTTGCATGGTTTTCCCCTATACTGATGCGTTCTAATACCGTCTTGGTACTTCAAGGTTGCTTGACAAGCCATGCCAAGGAACAGACAGCTAGACACATCCAATGCGGAGCTGATTCCAAGCCCTAGGCCCTAACCCCCCAAGCAAGGATACACTCCGAAATCCGGCTTAGCGTCGTTGAAGATTCGTAAACCCCACCGGGATCTCCGGAATCTACCAAGTCAGGAAAAGCAACGCCAAACACCATGGTGAAAACATCTGCAAGCTGGGCAGTGGTTCCTGTCATTTTAGGATACGGAAACCGACGGTCACCGTAGATATGGACCCTTGGCCTGTTGGAAACGCGTCAAGTTCTTCAGGACGAGACCGGCCGCGCAGCCAGCGAGCTGGCCAAGCGCATCGCAGCCTTCCCAGGCACGAGGGAGGGAACCTTGCTTGTGCACAAGCAAGATGAAGCGGTGTGAAATGATGGCCCACAGTCCCAACGTTGAGAAAACCACAGGCCTCGGAGGATGTGTTCCAAGCGCTCGGTTGGCCAGGCATTGGTGGTAAAAGGGGGACCACCCGATGGTGGTACTCACTTTGGTTTCTCATTTGAGCATAGGCGTCCATTTCGGTTGTTTTGGTAGAACATAGATGGCCCCGGTCCTGTTTCTTTCATAATCTGTCGAGGCATCCATCCATCCATCCATCCATGCATCCATCCATCCATCCATTCATCCATCCATGCATCCATCCATCCATCCATCCATTCATCCATCTAGCCATTCATCCATCTAGCATTCATTCATTCATTCATTCATTCATTCATTCATTCATTCATTCATTCATTCATTCATTCATTCATTCATTCATTCATTCATTCATTCATTCATTCATTCATTCATTCATTCATTCATTCATTCATTCATTCATTCATTCATTCATTCATTCATTCATTCATTCATTCATTCATTCATTCATTCATTCATTCATTCATTCATTCATTCATTCATTCATTCATTCATTCATTCATTCATTCATTCATTCATTCATTCATTCATTCATTCATTCATTCATTCATTCATTCATTCATTCATTCATTCATTCATTCATTCATTCATTCATTCATTCATTCATTCATTCATTCATTCATTCATTCATTCATTCATTCATTCATTCATTCATTCATTCATTCATTCATTCATTCATTCATTCATTCATTCATTCATTCATTCATTCATTCATTCATTCATTCATTCATTCATTCATTCATTCATTCATTCATTCATTCATTCATTCATTCATTCATTCATTCATTCATTCATCATCTATTTTCCCAACCGGGCCCATGGATGCCAGACCCGAGGTATCGCCTGCCGCCAGACCATGAGCCTGCTGACGGTGCCGCCGGTGAAGTATACCACGGTGGGGGCGTACAAGCTACCCGACCCGGATCTCATAGCCTAGCCGTCGGTGTACATGGCCCTGGTAAGGATTCATACCCCTGTGTTCTTTGGTCAACTTTGTGAGTGAAATACCTGGGGAGAGGGTCATTCTCCCGAGAGGGTCATTAACACAAGGGGTATGAACAAGGGGCTGTTGTCAAGTGCAATTTGAGCTTAGGAAGGATCTTCGATGCCTTGTCCACTCTTCCGCTTGAAGAAAACATGTGCGGGCGAAGTCCGCCCTGCCGCAGTGCGAACCTGAAGCGAAGATTGCCGTGGAGTGTAACCTTTGGCCAATCCGTACTTGAAAATTGGTTCCCCCCGATGAGTCGGTTGGCTTTGGATATTTTGTCACATACCCGTACTTCTTCGGACCTGAAGGGTATGGCCTTTTTTGGTGGCCTCGAATCAAGCTACGGAACCTCTCCGACGAGATGCATCAATCGTGGGTTGTGGCTCAGAGCGCGCCAGGTCGCTTGCAGAGATGGCAATGTGCAAACCCACTTTTTTTTTCTGCCGTTTGGGAGTTATTCCTCTTCATTCTTTGGGTTTTTACCTCCAGCCGGACTGTTTGGGGAGGCCTGTCTTGCGCATGCGCACCACAATGTTTACCGTGTGGCAACCTGCCCGTGTCTCTCATTTTCGCCTCGGCTGCCAAGAATTGGCACCTCAAACGAAGATTTGATCCGCGAAGCCCCCACCTGAGAGTTGCTCGAGCTGCTTGGGTTCACGCTTGGGTTTTTTTTCGTATGTGTGTCTCTCTTCCTTTAGGATGCGCTTTTGAGACGAGGGGATCCACCCCCTGGCCTCCGTTTCGAGAAGAGCTTGCTTGGTTGGCCATGCTCTGCCATGGACTTTGTGCGCCAGTTCCTCGACTGCGAGGCGGCCAGTTCAGCGGATCGCAGCTCAGTGGGATTTGTCGGCTTGTTGGCCGAAGAAATAGCATCCACTCTGTCTATGTGTGTGTGTGTATCTCCATTGCCTGAATCGTGTGGCTTGCTCAAAGGCCCCTAGACAAGAGGACGATCTGGATCAGAGTCGGTATATTGCCAACATACTCGTAACCTCTGTGACGCGTTTGAGTTTTCTTTGGGCGGCCTTGCAGGGCCAAGACTGGGACGAGCTGAAAGAGCTGACGCGGAAGAACCTAGACCAAGCAGGTCGGATCTGAAGTGGGGGCTCGCGTCTTGTTTCAAGATTTGTCAGGGTCATTATGTTGTGTTGGTTGTAAATCCGAGAAAGTTGCTGTGGTTTGTCTGGATTGAACATCTTGTTCACATTTTATGCCTATGCTTGTTCCCTTCTGTGGGTGGGTCTGCCTTTGAGATAGAATTTGGGCACGTTTGTAGACACGTTTGGCAGGCAACTGAACGTTCAAGGGCTTTGTGGGCGTTCCAGCTGTGTCCTGCCCAGCTCCGCATTTGTTGATAGCTTGGCAAAGCCTTCAGCAAGTGACGTATGAATTGACTGCTTCTTGTCCACCATAGTCAAACCACCGGGAATGTGTGTAAGATTCAGTTTGGTTTCCCGCTGCAAGCACTGGTCCCCAATCCCTTTTCACACACCTGTTCACAAAATGCGCCTAGCACTTTCCACTTGAACCCTGCATCAAAAGGAAACCACTCATTTTGGAGCTCGAACCATTTCGGGGCACAAAATCCCACATTTCAATCGGAAACATAAAGTATGGCAAATTTCCGTGCTACAAAGGGAACCCCTCTTTTTCATAAAGTAGTCATGGGGATGGCCCAGGAATTCCCTAAGTGATGAAGTAGATTATGCGGATGCCCATGTAATCGCAGAAAGGGTTGTTGATGGCGGTAGTTTCCCACTCCCACGAAAATCTGAGCTTTACTTGGGCCCTAAAACTGGACATCCTTGGTGATTTGCTGTCCATTTGGAAAAGACCGTTCCCCCGTTCCAATTCCTCGCCCGTTCCCCGGTGCCAAATCGGTGCCCCTTCCGTGCAGGCCTCCAGGCCCCCGGGCCGGTGCTGGCGCTGGCGCGGCGCCTGCTGCGGCGCTGGACGCCCCTGGCGCTGCTGCGGAACCGCCAGGCGCTGTCCTCGCGCCTGGCGCGGCGCCTTGGAGCCGACGAACTGCGGCCGGAGCCGCGTGTTTTTGTTTTTTGGGCTTGGGGCAGGACTCAACCAACTTTGTAAAGGGGGGAGGGGGGGGGGAGGGAGGGGGGGGAGGGAGGGGGGTCTCCTCATTGAAAAGTCGATTGAATGACTTGTCGTGTTGGTGTTTTCTTCTTGGCTCCTGTTGGGTCTCTTCATTTGGTCTCCTGATTCTGTTGATTGACTATAGGACACAGAATCCACACATCTTCATTTTTTTACCGCGGAGCCGGGCCACAAGTTGAGATTCATCCAATCCCAGAATTGGTTTGGCGGGTTGCTCACCAAACGCGGGGAAGCCCGAACAAGGGGCGTCCTTTTTCTGCCGGGGTCGCCAGGCAGGCGTCAATTTTGGATTCTGCCTAGCCCGACACGGAAAGAGGGCCCGCGAACTGCCAGCTTGCCGATCGTGCGTGAGAAGGGCGTTACAAGCAAAGAGAAGGGCGTTTTGCCAGGGACACCTTTTTCCAATTGAAGTAGAGTCATTTCTTGATGCTCAAATACCAAAACCAGCTGAGCAAATTTATGTTCATCCACTTGTATACACATACCCGTTGTGCGTGGTTCGTTGGAAAGTTGGGGTGGGCGGCTGCATGTTGTTTTTCCCCGGCCCCACATCAGGAGTCACACTCAACCAAACTCATTGGGTTTGCACTGCGACTTAACTGAACCGGTGGCTGACTAGCTGCATTATGATGCTTTGGTAACTCAACATTCTGTTTGGTGCTCCAGTTTATCATGAAACAGATAACCCTACTGAGGCACAATTGATGCTCAATTGCTTCTGCGCCGCTTGCCCTGTTTGGAGGTTGGTTCTGCAAGAGATAGATGCCGAGTCCAAGTGCTCCTGGACATGTACCCAGGACATTCCCCCCAAATTTTGGTTTCTGAGAAGCATCGGGAACCAGACGCAAAACGTGTTCCGGCAAGATGTATTGAAGATCCCAGGTCCTGTCCGCCTTAGGTAAGCCAAAAGGGGTCTGCTTGAACAAACCAAGTTGTTCAAGGACCGGGCCTGTGGAAGACGTGGAAGATGACTTCTGCCTCTATGGCATCATGACAGCTCATTTCTGGCGGTGCTTCGATGATGGCACCCCGTCCTGGGCGATTGCAAGATGCCTGAAGCGGATTACGAGTCTCGTCGCAAAGGCTGACACATTTAACCCAAGGCAAATAGGGTTTCAGTAGGGATTCATTAAACCATCTGCAAAACTAAGTTCCACTGGGGAAAACACATTCCCCTGGCGTTTCCGCGGGGCCCCTGTGTGACAGGGGCAGATCAAGCGATCCTTCAAGCAGTTTTTGCTGGGCCAAGAGCTTGTGGCCCATGATGTTAATTTTGCAGGGAGCCCTTACTTGCGTTTGCGAGCTATGTTGATTCACCCAGAATGCGTTTTGCCTTTGCTGGCCACCTTCTCATATCACGGTGCACGTAGCAATTAGCACTACTAGTCCTAGCACTATCGCACTTTCCTTCCACTCAGCAGGCTTGTTGATGGGGAGAGGCCTTGCAAGGAATCCGCGCGCCTTTGGAGAACATGAAGAGTCGCGCGGCAACCCAAAAGCTTTCAAGCCTGTTCTTCTGTCACTCAGAATTTGTGACTCTCCCAGCTTTTGTTCAACATGCAGCAACTATTGCTCAAGTCCAAAGTCAGGTTCTGACTAGTAGGCCAAACAAAACAATACCATGAATAAACATGGAATGTTTTTTTAAACATGGACAATGGACCACGGCCCAGTGAGTCAGGTTCGTGGCTCTCACAAACAGCAGGCGGCCCAATCAAAATCCGAGCCGGCAAGGAATGGGCCGCTGCTGAACATGGACACCCGCCCGGACTGGGGCGTTTTGGAGTTCTCCCAGAGCTCCTCTTGGCCGCTGCAGCTGCTGGATGTGCGCTTGGTCCAGGAGCATAGGTCTCAGTGTTTTTGTATTACACCCTATGACAATGTTGGGAAATGACCCAGTTTGGTTCAAAAGTACACGGCTTTATCCGGAAATATGGCTAAATGGGGTCAAGACCCAGTGGATGCTTTCCATGCGGAGAATTTGGGGGGAGCCGCCTGCATGCGGTGAGGTTACAGGGGGCCCAGAAGGAAACCAGCCAGTTTGGGCACCCCTCACCAGTTACTCCACGATCTTCTTCGGGCTTGGTACTTTTTGGAATTGATCTATTTCTTGTTGTTTGGGGGATTGCACCCCCTGCAGATGACTATGAAATTGCTTGGAGAGTGGTAAGTTCGCGGGAACTGTGCCGGTGGTTTGCAGTCCGTGTGCATGAACAAACTCACTTCGCTGTGCAAAGATTTGGCAATCCCCAAACAATACCACATGAGTGTAGCGATCTCGCTATGGTGCAGTGCAATCTCATCAGAGGGCCTGGAACTGTCTGTATCTAGTCCGCAAATGAACATGGAACCCAAAAGTAGGCTACACCCAAAGGATCCAAAAGTAGTTTCACCTGCTTCAAAACCGGGATTTACCATTCACTTTCAGGCGTCCACCAGTTTTGGATTGCCACCTTTTGGTTTCTGTTTTAGCTCATTCGAGTCTCAGATGCGTTTCAGCATTGATCTTGGCTACCTGGCCCCTCAAGCTAAAAGAGGGAGATATCACGATATTAGCCCAACATTTTGGGGGCAATATCCCAATTCTGAAGGGGTGTCACTGAGTTGGAGGGCAGTAATCAAGAATCGTGTTTAATATTGGCTAGGTCCCCCAGTAGTGCCCTTTTCCCCTTTTTTGGGGGAGGGTTCCCCTACTAAAATAGACTACAGAAAAAAAAGGTACCAACTTATTCTAACCTCTCTACTACTGGAGGACCTAGACACGGCATTGCAGGACCACCTGAGCACCTGCTCCCTGTGCCCTCGCCTGGCCGTCCCCGCCCTGCGCCGGCGACTGCGCCTCGAAGACGCCGCCGCCTTTGCGTCCGCGTCCCCGGCGGTGAGGCGGCAGCTGGCGGCCCGGCCGACGCAGCCCGCGTGGACGGCACAGGTGGCGCCGGTGAGGCTGGTGGTCATTGGGTCCCACATGGGCAGCCACTTGAAAGCAAGAGAAGGTCTGAGAAGGTGATGTCGGATTCCGCTCACAATGGGTGGCACTTTTCCTTGGGTCCATGGCTCCCAACACAATGAGCGGCAATAGCTGTCTGCCATGGTCAGGAACAGCTGGTCAAGACTGAATAGTCAAACAACTGCAGGCTTGTTCACGATGTGCAGCAGCCACATGCATGGGATCAAGAGACACTCGCTGACCCAACTCGTCTGATCGGCCAAAGTGTCAGGAAAGTGTCACTGAAAAACCGGAGAGTTGGGAGTCGGAACTTCAACGAATCCTGTTCAACCATTCACAGAAACCAGCAACAGGAGTTTCTATAGGCAAGTGGTCAAACACCTCCAAAACAAGTAAAGGCCCGGCTGCTTTCCTGTCGGAAGCGGGCGAAAAGGCCGCACAAAAACAGAAACACGACTGGTTGAACATCCACTGCTTGCATGAATCGACCTGATCCATAGGGTTTTAAAAGATTGAAGATCAACATGTGGGTTGCCCTCATGTTTGCCCTCCATTGTGCACCACCCTTGCCCTCGTTTGGCACCCATTGTGAGGCCAGAAATCTGGCGGATCCGAGGCAACATGGAGCCCTTGGCCATGGTGGAGGCGTGCGTGAAGGCGCAGGGCCTGGAATTGGAGGCCACGGTTTTGGGCACCGCCTATCCCTTCCCGGACATCATCTGCGAGTCCTTCGGGCACTGCAGCAAGAATGCCTTCATCGACGAGGTGAGCGAAGGGGGCGAAGCGAGCGAAGCCGGGGGAAAGGGGGGGGAAATGGATGGGAAATGGATGGGAGGCACGCGCTGGTAGTTTGAGGGTCTGAAATCCATGCCACCCAGAACGGTTGGGGAGAAAGGAGAAAGCGGAACGAAGGATCGGGGGAAGTGGAAGGAGTAGTCATTGGGGCGTGCGTTCTTGTGAGAACAAGAGAAATAGCAGCAACTTTCCAAGAACGGAAGTGCGCAGGCTCCCTCAGCGATACTCGTTTGCTTCTTCCAGCTTTGGGATGGCCGTTGGCATTGGGTGCTGCAATCGGTGAAGGTCCTGGTCATGTTGGGCGAACAGGTTGCTCGCCGTCATGGCTAAGTCGATGCATACAGGGAATGGTGATCGAAATCCTTCAATTGCTCCTAGCTTATTCAGGTCATCGATCACATGAAACGTCACATCAAACCTCCTAGTCTCTGGCCAACGTGTCACAGCGCCCATGTGGCTTGGAGCCCGCAGCAACAATATGCGTTATATGAGCCAGGGCAAGAAGGCAACACCTCTTTGCTTTGTCCAGCTTTGTCCTACTCCCCCGGCATACAATATATTATTTTTGTACATGTGGACCTCCAAAACTGTCTATTTTGAGAGAAATCTACTATTGTGGGACCCATTTGCAGGGGAAGTACCTCCTGAATCAGATCCAAAACATATTCCCCGCATATTCCTGGCAAATCAGACTCAGACCGCTGGATGTTCAAACCGCGTCCTGTTTTAGGCGGTGCGCCTGCTGGTGCGGCAGATGTACCGCCCATCCTGGGAACCGGCGAAGTTGCTGGACTTGCTGTGGCAGGGCCTGCAGGTGGGGCCACGCAAACCGACAGGTGACGAGGTCAAAAAACAGGGCGAGTTAATAAGACTGCTCCTGCAGCCCCCGCCCCAAAACCACACCTTGTAGTCGCACCCCAGGTTGCAACCTGCAGAGCTCCCAGCCCAAGCAGGCACCGATGATGCATGCCTGCTGGGCTGTGAGCTCTGCAGGTTGGCAACCTGCAAGCGTGTCAGCAGGCATCAGCTGCATCATCGGTGTGAGCTCTGCAGGTTGGCAATCTGCAAGCGTGTCAGCGGGCATCAGCTGCATCATCGGTGCCTGCTTGGCTGTGAGCTCTGCAGGTTGGTAATCTGCAAGCATGTCAGCGGGCATCAGCTGCATCATCGGTCTGCTGGGTTGTGAGCTCTACAGGTTGGTAATCTGCAAGCGTGTCAGCGGGCATCAGCTGCATCATCGGGCTGTGAGCTCTGCAGGTTGGCAACCTGCAAGCGTGTCAGCAGGCATCAGCTGCATCATCGGTGCCTGCTTGGCTGTGAGCTCTGCAGGCTGGTAATCTGCAAGCGTGTCAGCGGGCATCAGCTGCATCATCGGTGCCTGCTTGGCTGTGAGCTCTGCAGGTTGGCAACCTGCAAGCGTGTCAGCGGGCATCAGCTGCATCATCGGTGTGAGCTCTGCAGGTGGGTAATCTGCAAGCGTGTCAGCGGGCATCAGCTGCATCATCGGTGCCTGCTGGGCTGTGAGCTCTGCAGGTTGGTAATCTGCAAGCGTGTCAGCGGGCATCAGCTGCATCATCGGTGCCTGCTTGGCTGTGAGCTCTGCAGGTTGGCAACCTGAAAGCGTGTCAGCGGGCATCAGCTGCATCATCGGTGCCTGCTTGGGCTGTGAGCTCTGCAGGTTGGCAACTGCAAGCGTATCAGCGGGCATCAGCTGCATCATCGGTGCCTGCTTGCTCTGCAGGTTGGCAACCTGCCAACGTGTCAGTGGGCATCAGCTGCATCATCGGTGCCTGCTTGGGCTGTGAGCCACAGCTGATGTCTGCTGAGTTGGCGGCTCACAGCCCAAGCAGACACCGATGATGCAGCTGATGTCTGCTGAGACGCCTGCTGGTTGCCAACCTGCAGGGCTCACAGCCCAAGCCACCAATGCAGCTGATGTCTTGCAGGTTGGCGACCTGCAGCAATTTTAGCGGACATCAGCTGCGTCATTGCTGCCTGCGTGAGCTGCGAGCCCTGCGTGGGGAACCCAGCGGACATCAGCCGCATCATTGGTAAACCTGTAGGTTGTCAGCAAACGTTACCTGCGTCATCTGCAGGTTGGGAACCTGCACATCACCTGCATCATTGTTGCCTGCCTCCAATTTCTTGCGTGCCCACAGCCTGCTGGGCTCGAACTCTGCATGTGGCAACACTTGCAGAGTGACCACAAACCCAGGCAGCCGTGCCATCGCTTGCCATCTGCCTGCTCCTTCTCATCCCCTCCCTTTCTGGGACACGCTGCTGAAACACCTGCAGTGCAGGAAAAGCCACGGGGGCACTGCACACTCCACTGCTTTTCCGGCAGTGTGAGCAGTTCAATCCAGATAATGGTTCTTCCAGGTGCAAGGTGGAAAGCCCCTTGTGCCTTGCCCGCCGTTGGGACCAAGTCAGGATTTTCAAGACTGGGCCGCACTTTCTGGGTCCAAGTGCAAAATTCCTCGTTCCGTGATACCAAAGTGGGCTATTGCTCTGCCCACTGTATCGCTTTTGAGATGACCCCTTGGTATCACAGAAAGTGGCTGGGCCCCAAAACTCAGGCCTGCTGTTGGTGAGGTGTCCCCTACCAAGGGCCGACCCAAAAAGTCTTTGTACTTGGTGGGCAAAGTCCAGGTTGATTTGTCCGACTACCTTTGATTCAGCCAGTGGCGGCTTTTTTTGTTGCCACTAGGATTGTTGACCTCTTGACTCTTTACTGCGAAATGGAGAGCAGCCAAAGCCAGCTGTTCCTGAACATGATGATCCGTTCAACTTGAGGGCCCCACGAAGATCACAACTCCCAAGAACCAAGCGCTTACTTCGATTGTCTCGAATCTGTTGAATGGGTTGGGAGCCTTATTTCTGGCCCTTTGGGTAGCTGCCGGTCGCTGGCTCAAGATCAACCCAAAGCCAAGCCAGCTGTTTGCTCGTTGCTTACGGCAGGAACATATTCCAAGAAGGCTTGTGACATTATGATTTCGTCAAGAAGCCCTTGACCGATTCAATCATGGGTTTGCCTTGATCCACGACTTGTGCATGAAAAGAAGGTCTGTACATTATCCATGCATATCCACTCATGTGTAGCTCGTTCTGACCGTGGAGTGAAGCTGTGGCCTGACTGCTTAGACATGACTCCGCTTCTGATCGCAGGAGAACTTGGAGGCCGACATTTTTCTCTGCGCGCAGCCCATGGCATTGTGCTCCTTCCTGCGCAGCCTTACCTCGCAGCCCATGATCTTGTACCAGGAGGGCTCACTTTCTTGTTGCATTCTACTTCAAGATGTCTGTTTTTCTGCCTGTTTGTTGTGTGGAGCCAGAAGGCCTGCAAAGTCACGCGAGCGCGCAAGCAACCACCCTTCATCCAAGTTGGACTCGCTGATAATGAAGATGTGTTTGGCGTAAGGGCCATCTTTGAAGCGGCCCTTTCATGTTTTTTCGGCTATGAGTGTGGGCATGCCACGGAAGTGCACCGTGCACCAGGAACCAAAGAACCCCGTCTGAATTGCATGGTGGTTTTAGGGAGGGTAGGTGATAGCTTTCGCGCATGAGGAGTGTTGATTTCATGTTATGGCAGTTGCCTTCAGGATTGATATCTGATTTTTCCTCACCTGGAATCCAACATACTCGCGCCGCCTTCAGTTCCAGGGCGGCTGGGCCCAATTTGCCCATGTCCTCTTGAGGATTGAACTGCCGAAATTGAAACATCTTTTGAGAAGCTGAAGGGGATTGCCCATTGATTCATTGATTGATTGAAGCCACCATTTTCACCACAATTGACAGCTCATCATCGATAAATTTCGTTAGGATTGGTTGCAACCAGACATTGAAACCACCATTGAACCTTTAATTGTGTTGAGGCCGAAAGTCGTGAATTTCATTTGGGTGTGTCTTTTTTTAAGGGCACACCAACCAAAATGGGTGGTTTTCTGTTGGTTTCGCTTCAAAGCCACCGAAAAAGGGGTAGTCTCACAAAAAGACCCCCTTCGAGGCCTTCCCGCTGGTGGGCGCCACACCTCTGGCCTTCCGCCAGCTGCTGTTGGTCCAACTGCGCGAGGTGCAGGCGAGCGACCCACAAAGTCGAACTGCCTGGGGGTCGATGAAATTCAGCGAAGTGTTTTGTGAGTCACAGGAACTCCGAAGCGCCAGCAGCGCGACCTTTCCACTTTTCAGTTACATTCTTTATTTTGGCACTTTTCGCAAGCGAAATGTCGGATGTTTGAAGAACAGAGCAAAGGTGCCGGATCTCGAGCAGGTGTTGAAAGGAGCCACCAGGTTTCTTTCACTGCCAAATTGTATATTGGGTTTCTAGATGTTTTTTGGGAATCTCTTGTGGTTTCCTTTTGTACCGCCAAGTGCGCGATAGCCCCCTGCTCCTCAAGATTGGAGCTCAAAAGGCAGGGGTAGACGCGAGGGCGTGGTCAACCAAAACTCAACAATGCAGAGGGACAACCAACTTGAATGTACAAGTGTGCAGCTCACTACATGACCATCAGTAGCTCTGCGTGATTGACACATCATGCTCATCTTGGTACTTTTTTGTATTTTTAAAACATCAGGCAGTATCCCAAAGTGACACTTGCATTCTTTACTCGGCTCGGCGCACAGCCAAATGCCAACAAAGCTGGCCTCCGCCTAAGTCGCACTTTCTTCCAGCACCTAACTTTGATTCGATGGGAAGCACAGTCCAAGCCAAACTTGTTGCGTAGTACGTGCTTGTGCCCGAAAACCTTCGGACGTTCTACCGCAATGTCATACAAAACCAGTTCGCTGCTCGCGCAATCTAGCTGTGTGCCCGCTTTTCTTTGCTGGAAAGCTTCTGGAAGGCCGAGCGCGTGCGAAAAAAAAGGAAACCCATAAAAATCCCATACGAATCCCATAAAAATCCCATACAAACCCATATTTTCCCGAAAACCGGGTTTTTCCTAACACGTACAAAAACCGTACAAATCCCATAAAAATACCGTACAAACCCGTACGCAATTTATGGGATTTTCAGCCTCTGCTCAAGCAGCTTTCCAGGCCCGAGCTGCCCGAAATAAGCTTGCAAGGTGACCCTGCGAAAAGCAGTCATTCATGTGTTCGTCCCACGCGTCTTTTACTACCTGCTGTCCAGTGTTCAAAGTGGGTTAGGTTCTTTTGGCTCGCTCCAAAAATGATGTTCCTGCGACGTTTTAGACAAGCCTGCGAGAAGTTCCGGGATCAATGCTCTAGCACGGGACTTGGTTGTCAAACAGTGAGCATTTGCAAGACGGCCCTCCAGATGTATCCGACGCGAGCTTTACGCAAACAGTCCCAAGCAGATTGCTCAGTGCCATACAAAATATGTATACACGTGCAGCTACCGCTTGCGGTAAACTGGGACTACTTGTTGCCCTTGTCAGAAAGTTCATATTCCAATGCTGTTTTAAACTTCCCGAGCCACGATCTGGGAAGCCTTCCCAACAAATTGTGGATTGACCATTGTTTCGAGTTCAGCAGGTGATTTGCAACAGGTGCCATGCTCAATGAGCTTGCTTGGATGGGATCGCTAGGCGGCCGCGGAGCGATTGACTGGATGTAAGAGAGCCAACAAAAGGATTATATTGAGGGAACCACAATCATAACTCACGCAAGACCATTCTGATTACAACGCAAAAAGTAAAAACCCGGTATTTCCTGGAAAAACCCGGATATTTTGCCATACCTTTAAAATAAACGGATATTTGCTTAGAGGGATGTTTCTTGATTTTTTAGGCCCCCGCCCGCCGCCCCCTCCAAAAAGAGAAAATGGGAACCATTGCAGCCCTGGGTAACTTCCCCTTTCTTTCCGAGGATTCTTGTGTCCGGAAAAGACAAAGGGTGCACTGAGTTCAACTGGTCTGGTGGCTCCCTACAAAAATTTAACTAGTTCCTCAAAAGGGTGCAAGTGGGTTCAGGTGGTTCCCGACAAAGACAAGTTCCGCTTCGGGTTTTAGCGTCAAGCAACTACTTTCTCAAACAGGGGGATTGATGTCACACGGGCCCCTCCGTAGGGGAGCCTCCAATCAACTCCCCTACTTTCGCCGTATGTCGACAAAATTTGGGCTTATTTTTGGCAAACAACAAGGGGGGTTCCCCGTAAGTCTTGAGTTTCAAGTCTTCGTGGTTCGAGCGGGCTAATGGGTGGTTTCGGGTTGGTTTGAGATTTGTTTTTGGCTGAAGCTTAGGGTTGGCTTGAGGTTGGCTTAAGGTCAGTTTGGGTTTGGCTTGGGGCTGGCTTATGGCTCGTCTTTGGATTCATTTAGGGTTGGCTTGGGGTTGTTTAGGGAGTGTGCAGGGCGCATTTAGGGTGGGTTCAGGGTGGGTTTAGGGTTGCCTCAAAGGCCTTAAGGGTTTAGGGTGGGTTTAATGGTGGGCTTAGGCGGGTTTTCGGGTTAGTTTGGGGTGGGAGCTGGAGTTCCGAGTTTTCAAGTTTCGATCGAGTTTGGAGCGCGACCAGCCACCAGATCAAGTTCGATCTCAAGCAACGGGGCTGGGGGTTCCCCAGGTAAGCTTTTGCCTCGTCCATGGCGTTGAGGGTCACCCCGCCGGAGAGCATGCGAGAAAGGCTGCAGGCGTGGCGTGCTGGCAGGGTTCATTTTTTGCCTTGTCCTGTTGAGACCCAGAGTCTTTCCAGGGTTTCGGCCCCTTTGGAGGCTTGCCCCCCCAAATATGGCGACCCCTGTGAGGCGCTAGCAAATCGCTTCGAGGACATGCTGCAACGTCAGCAAGAGCTCAGGGTAGAGTTGGGGTCTTTGTCCAGCGATGATGCTGATCTCGAATCAGCTGATCTCGATCGCACAATTTACAATATGGTGGCCACATTCCGGCTGGGATTCAGCCAGGAGAGCGTATTCGACACCTTGCCTGTGTACAAGGTGTGCTTTGCTTTACGGAGACATCCGAAGACGGGCATTTTCCATGCGTCCAACATACTTAAGCTCTCCATTGACATTGCTGAAACGGGGAATGCTGCAGCACGCTCTGTGGAAGTCAATGTTGAGATGATCGGTGGCAACTTTCCTGAGGACAAAGTCTCTGGGCAGGAATGTTGCCTCCGACTTCGTTACTGGACCAGAGAAGCAACACCCGTGTTTCTGTCTAGCGTGTTTTGGCCGAACAGTGGTTGCATGGTGGACCAGAATGGGACACCGTTGACCATTGAGAATAGCGACTATCTAGATGACCCGCGGAGAGACACCACACTCACTGACAATGGGGTTCGAATCGAAGAAGTCCAGCTGCCAGATGAGCTTGAACGAGCATGGGCGGAAGGCACGTTGTTTCCAGGTGATGTTCATCAAGCATGGGCGGATTCCTGCAGCTCCTTTGAGTTGTCTGCGGGAAGTTCACCGCCTGTGTTTGCAAGCAGCGACTTCTCGCTGGCTGACGACGATGCACATGAGCCGCTGGGACGTGTGGTGGGCAGCACCATCCGGAAATGGAGCGGCGCCAGACATGCAGGGCCCGTTCTCCCCAATGTTGCCAGGCACTTGATTTTGGCCTTCTTGTTCTTTGCCCCTGAGCCATGTTCCTTCGCAGGGAAGCTGGCAGTTGCAATCGGCGTGAAACGAGCCCGGAAGAAAAGGAAGCGAAGGAGGAGATCTAGTTACAGAGGCGAGTGTTTAAATTGTGGTGGGCCTGCTGCATCCTGGCTGGGCTATGAAGAGTGCGCGAGCTGCTTTTCTGAGCATCATGATTGATGATTTCGGTGAGGAACTGCTCAAAGGGTTGCTGCGCTAGGCGCTGCGGCCGCTTTGACATTGCCAAAAAAGGACAGAGAACTGGCTTGTCGGCAGCGGCTGAAAGGTACAGCGCCAACGAGGGCCACAGCTGCCGCATTTGGAAGACGACCGCATTGGTATGATGTCTTCTTTCCGCAGAACCCAACCCTTCTGAAATCGGAGATGTTGTATGGGTAGTTTGGCCTTGTTTCAACTTGTTGCTGAGACATATGATCCAAGTGGATGAGTTTACAACACGAACAGGTGACACACATGACGAACATCTTCGCACTTATTAATTGCCAAAGTTTTAAGGCGGGGGGGCAAGCTATGGCTCGCCTTTCCATTTTGTGCCGGCAGACTACAGATAGGGGGCTTGCATGTATTCGGTGAGCCGTGGAGGAAAAGGACGCTACAGCGCAACGAGTAGAGGGGGGAACGGGCCAGTCATTGCTCGCCCCTTCCTTTTTGCAAGTGCCTTCCACTTTCAAGGTTTTGTGTGTGTGTTTTACACCGGTAACCCAAGGGTGTGCCAGTCATTCTTCGGGTGCACCTCTTTAAAACACAGCCCTGGATTCTTACAACAACGCCTCTACCGTCTACCCGTCTTTCTTTCTTTATATTTTTCTTCTCTTAATCTGTCTCTTTCTTTTTCTCTTTCTCGCTCTCTCTCTCTCTCTCTCTCTCTCTCTCTCTCTCTCTCTCTCTCTCTCTCTCTCTCTCTCTCTCTCTCTCTCTCTCTCTCTCTCTCTTTCTCTCTTCAGACACCAAATGCGTTCCCTCCACCACGCAACCCGAGAAGCCTCAGTCGTGGTGGAATTCGCCCTGTATTTGCCTTACCACGCTGGTTGACCCTTTCTGACTGCGGAATAGGCATCGAATGACACCATGGTTCGAATAGACATTGTTCAGAACATAGTCATTGCATCTCCAGTCGGGATCCTAGGTGCAGGGACATGTTTTAATCCCTTGCTTGGCCTTGAGCTTCGTTCCGTCTGCATGGAAGCTGGTGCGACGTGGGTTCTTAGAACATGTCAAGCAGAGGTGGTGCACATTCAGGTGGCCAACGGGAAGCGCTCTGCCCTCATAGCCTATTCCGAGTTCTTGGCGCGGCAGGCGCGACCGTTTGAAAAAAAGGGAAAGGCCTCGGTCCATGGCGTACGTCAGCTATCTCGCAAGCGTTGTGTTGGGGTAACACAATTGAGGAGAACACCGTTCAACTAGCTGGCCTTCATTCCGGATTCATTCCAGACAAGCAGGCACACTGAGGCAAACAACTTTGTTTCTTTGGCTCGGGCACATGTTGCATGACAATTGAATTGTCTTTGTCAAAGGGAGGGGGGTCCCCTCTTTTTTAGGAAGCACCGAATTTGTTTGGTTTCTCAACAACTGGGGAGCCTGAAAAAACTGGTTGTTTTCCTCTTCTTCCCTTTTTAAGCCACCCAAACAAAATTCGGGCAGCCTCAACAAAGACGAGCCACGCCATTTAGAGTATGTGTAAAAACAATGGCACGGAGGTGCAGAAGCAGACGGGGCAGCGCCCGTTCTGCCTTCGCCCCCACTCCCTGTATGCGGTGCAGGCTGGGGATTTTTCCTATTGGGGGCCTCTTGGTTTGCGAGATATCGCTCGTCTTTTTGTCGAGGTCGCCTTTTTGGAACTGTTTTTTTTGTTTGTTTTAAACTCGGGGCTCAACCCGGCTAGGGGGCTGGTTGGTTGGTTGGTTGGTTGGTTGGTTGGTTGGTGAATGGGTGGGTGGGTTGGTTGGGTGGGTGGGTGGGTTGGTTGGTTGGTTGGTTGGTTGATTGGTCAGCTGGGCAGCTGCATCGCATCCCCGGCATCCCGGCATCCCCGGTTGCTTGTCAGGGCTGCATATTGGGAGTGACTTGGTGGTAGTTAAGAGTTGCTCGGGCTTAGCCGGCAGCATGGCCTCGCTAGGACTAGGGCTGCCTATTGGCTTTGACTGTCCAGAGTTGCTCGGGGCGGGTTTGGGGTGAATGCTGGGCTTGCTGAGGTCTTAACGAGGGCGGGTCTTGGGTTTGTTCATTTGAGCTCAGCAAAGGGCTGACATGCGGGATGCGGTGGGAGGGTTTAAGGTTGACTTTGGGTCGATTTTGGTTGGATTGGGGCTGATCTGTGCTACTGGTTTTGCCGTGGCTTTCGGGTTGCTTCAATGATGTGGTCATTCAAGTTTTGGGCTGGTTTGGGATTGGTTGGTTGTGGGGCGTTGCCACAAACCACCAATCCTAGCCCAAAACTTGCAAAACCATATCCCTGAAGCAACCCGAAAGCCACGGCTAAACCAGCCGCACACCTAGCACAAATCATCCCCAACCAAGCCAAACCCGACTCAAAGTCAACCTTAATCCCTCCCACCTCATCCTGCATATCAGCCCTTTGCCGAGCCCAAATGAACCCCAAACAAACCCAAGACCCGCCCTCGTTAAGACCTCAGCAAGCCCAACACACACACACACCAAACCAGCCCCAAGCAACTCTGAAGTGCCATCAATCAAGTCAAGCTCCACTCAAGCATAAGAACTTGGATCCAGACGACTTGAGTGTAAGCCATGAACCGGATTTCTCGCCCAAGCCAGTGCTTCCAGTTCCCACTTCAGCAGGCAAACGATTTGTTGCTGCTAAGCTTTATATTGATTGTGTTTTTTGTTGCTTGCCATAGTGATAACAAAGAGCTCTAAAACCTTAGGCCGGAAACTGACAAATAATTCCAACTGTGAGTTTCCTCCCTAATCCCTGCCAACCAAGAAACAAGAATCCGTCTCCACAGTCCCCCATCAGAATCAGGCGGGGCGGTACTTTCCGGACCGCGAGAGTCCCCGGATCTTGCTGGGCCGCATGGCCGGCTGGGCCCGGAACAGCGCGGGCGCCATGGTGCGGCTGGTGGAGGCGCCGCGGGGTTTAGTGGCTGACACGGAACATGACTCGCAGAATCTCGCAGATTAACACGGAACCCCAGGAGATTCCTTTACAAATGGGCGACCTGTGGGTTTCATAGCTTTGGGTGGCAAAGTGGATTGTGACTTGATTGGGGGGTTAGGTTACCAATTTATGCCTTTGGCTCTTCGGCATGTAGAGACCGGATCGTGAGCTCTTGACAAGTGTTTCAGGTTCAAGAGCTCGATGTGTTTTGTGTTTTGTCACGTGCCTTGTTGGCAACTTGCTGGGCCAGGTCAAAGACCCGTGCCCTTGGCTCGTTTTAGGCAGGGCCAATCTTCTACACCAATCGCCGGTTTTCACTTCGAAAGTCAAAACAATGTATGTACTTGGTCGTCCAAACGAGGTTTCCCCTGGGGCTGGGTTATTCAGTTTCATCATTTGCCGGGATTGTACGGGACTAGGTTGCCCCGCCCCGGTTTGTTCGTTCACCCTTCTCAGAACAAGCTTTGCCCAGAGAGACATGCAGCCTTTTGAAGCTGGCCTCTCAAGTTGGGAGAAAATGTCTCTTTACAAGCTTACAGTACAGGAATCAACCGCACACCAACCCGATCTGGCCCGGCCCTCATGCGCACGTGTCAAGTCATGTGTCAAAACCGGCTGACCTATGCTTGAAGGCCCCATCCGAGCCTGCCATGTTTGGCGGGCCGGCGGTGTTTTTGCAGGGCTGGTTTCAAGCAAAGAAGCAGCCCCTGCGACCCATGTCCTTTCTAGATTGGTTGAACATGTTGATAAGTTGGCTGGTTTCAGCTGGGATTCTTCTCATTTACCCTTGGGACTCAACATTGTTTCCCAAAGGGGACCTAGGCTCTGGCCCCTTCAGCCTGTTTGGCCTCTACTTTTTATCTAGAAAAGGATGTTGTGAGTGTTGGGTGTGTTTTTTTCCCAATGGCTCTTGTTGAATTCCGTATGTACCTTGCTATGTGGGATTATGCTTAGATGGACCTTTTTCCATTTGGGTATGTTTACAAAGGATAGCCCCAACGATGCCCGCTTTCCGGTCGTTTCCCTTTAAGCCGTGCCTCTTTAGCCGCCCTCTAGTGTTCTTCTTGATTCTCAGTAGGGCAGGAAGAGGGTGTGTGGGAATGGACCGTTGGAGTTCGCTTAAAGAAGCAACCAGTTGGATGATTCATGGTCAGTCCAACTCATTCCCTGCCCATGCAACCAGCACGTTTTGCCTAAAAGCCCCATGAAACCTGGAAGTAAACCACCTATTCAAACGGCCACCACCCCTCCCTCCAGTTTTGGGCCGATGTGGCCATTTTCCCCCCAAAGCCCCAGGCATTTGCAGAGCTGCTGCCGACAGACCAGCTTCGCTTGGTCTTTCTGGGCCTTGCGAAGGACTCCAAGCCTTTCATGAGGGGGGGGTTGAAGAGAAACCAAAAAGGACACAAAGAAGAAGGATATTGGGGGGTGTCTCAAAGCATGGTTAAGGCGCCTGCAACCCGACGGCGCTGTTTCTTCCGAAGAGACACGCCCACAGTTGTAGAATGCGCAGGAATTCGGGTGTTTGCACAACTTCATGTGCGAAGCAGGGCTTGAGCGGCCTTCAAAAAGTAGCAAACGCGTGCCCTGTTTGCGTGCAAAGTGTCTCATAAGCGCCCACCGAAGCAAAAGTGGCTGGGGCGCTCTACTCTCGTTTTCTGCCCTGCCAAGCCCCTTGAGCGACAAGCGTCGCCATTTGGCGCTATGCGTTTTCACTGCGAGAGAGGGTTCCCTTGAACGACAGATGCAAACCCTGGGGGTAGCTTCGGTGGGTGGAAGCTGTCGAGAACCTTCAACCCGCGACCCGCGAATCGAATCCAGAGGAGGCCTCCGGGCCCGTGGCGGGCATCGCGCGGCCCTTCTCGTACTCGGAGCTCCGAAGGTTCCGGGGCGCCGTGCCGCTCGGAGCGGGAAACGGAGCGAGTGGAAGGCAACAACTCCCGCGTCTCTGAAGGTCTCTGCCAAATGTTTGGCTAGATTTAAAAGGGCTATTATGGGGAATTGATTGGCGGGAAAGACGCCGGGCCCAGTTGGACTGTTTTTTGCTGGCGAAACGAGCCACCCCTTGGAAAGGCCAACTTAAACTGTGTGGCGGTTTGTAGGGTGATTCGTTTCGGTTGAAAATGCCATTTGGAACCAGTCGTCTCAATGTCATTGTCCAGCACAGTTGGGCCAAACCCCTGCCCCTTTCCTTAAACGACTCTTTAACGGGTGCCAGGGCTCTGGATATCGCATGGCTCCACCCTCAGGTACTTCCCCTGGGACATGGGCATGCTGGTCTTCAGCGAGCTCTATGCCATCGGGGTGCCTCTCTTCCTGCCGGATCGCGCTTGGATTTCCTCCATCATCAAGCGACACCTGGCATTGCCACCCGACCATCGTGTTGTTAACGTAACCCTCCCCTCCCGGTGGCAGTGACAGTGCAAGAAGTAAACGCCGCAAGAATAACATGCCAGGTTCTTGCTCAGTGGCGCCTGCATGTGTCTTGTCCAGTGGGTATGAATTCTCCGTGGTTGCCTTTTTTGGACATCAGAATTCGGCGGAGATTCCTGTCCATCACCACTTTTGAGGTGGTTCTCTCTTAAGATTCATATCCATAATATGTTGATGTTTCCTCGTTTTGTTTTTTCACTTTCTGTCATGGAGATTGGACGGCTAGGGATGTCCACTAGGAATGCTGGAGTACACGGACTTCGGCTGGTGGCAAGCTCGGGAGGAGGGTTCAGCCGTGGCCCTGCCGGGCGCGACTCCGGGCTGGTTCTGGTTCTCGGAGAACTCGACCATTTCGGAGATCCTCGAGCTGCTTGGTCTTCTCACTTCTTGAGTTCCTGGACTTTAAACTTTTTGGGAAAACCTTTTTAGAGCTAAATAAAAAGTTTGAACTTCTCGGGAAGTGAGTCTTGGAGGCGGATGTTCAACGGCAATCCGCTAGATCCTTACGGGGCCTACGAAAGGAGTTGTTTTGGTGCTTGTGCAATAGGAGTTATGGATTAGGATGGGCCAACACTCCATTTTGCAGTGCCCAGGTAAAATAAGAGCGAGAGAGAGAGATGGGGGGCAACTTTGCAATCGTTTTGTGCACGATGGTTGCTGTAGATGTTGGCCTGTCGAATGATGCTTTTACAGCGGGACGAATGTTGAGAGAGGGGAGAACCGCTCGACCATTTGATGGAAAAACGAGGGGGTGAATCGACATCAAAAGACTCTCAAAGGATTCTTAGAGGAGTGTGGGGGTAAACCAACCTCTAGTTCCTTCAAAAACAACCAAAGCTACTTGGCAATAGCGGAAAGTTCCCAACGCTTTTCATTGTGGTTGAGTGAGTGCCAGATGTTTGGACATGTTGAGTTGATAATTTGCATTGCGTTTTGTTGCCGTGTCGCGTTTGCGTTGCGGATGTCGCTTGTCTTGCCGACAATGCTTAGCACTTTATCCAGCTCCTTGCCTGAGGCTATACGATCTCACTGACTTCGTGCGCTGGCCGGGCCCGCACACGTGACTACCACGTACTAATTATGTCACTTTACTCTCGCACTTTCTTGCAGAATCCTCATGCACGGGATATGGCTACATGACCCAACAGCAAGAAAAGGCAATAATCACCAAACGATGGCTGTTGTTTGCAGGTGAAAGTCAAAGGATCAATGGTCATGTTGTGCGTGTCCTCGATGTCGTTGAAATTTCATCAGCTACCGCCAGCATAGGGAAGCCCCCAGAACACATCCCTCGGATCATGTTTTGGGATGTACAGCAGGCTTTCTGCTGTCATTGAACCGCAATATCCAAACATTTCACCTGCATTGCGGCTATAGGAAGCGGGCAGGGTCACAAGGCGCAGCAATGCTTCAGGGGCTTGCGGGGCTGCAAGGCAGGATCCCTTGTCAGGCATATTTCACAGGGACATCAACCGGACGGTTGTCGCGCGCAGCGATAGGACCACTGTGGCACATATTTGGGCATGTCATGGTCCAGCTTGAAAATGGTTCCTCTTGTTGCTTCAAGGGATTGCATGAGATTCACTAGTTCCATGTTGGTCTGCATGTGTTTCTTCCTTCGCCTCTTGGAACATCACGGCCCCAAAAGGGAAGCTGACCGACCAAATCCACCTTGGAAAGGAAACCTGGTGGCAGCTGTTGCTGTCTATGGCTGCGTCTTGGATGGCAGGCCCTACGTCACCAGCTTTTCCAGCCTCCCCCAGCTCATGCAGAGCCTCGTGGCGGCGGACTTCGATTCCACCAGCCGCCGACTCAGACCCAGCGAGCAGCCCACCAGGCACTCCCGCCGTTGGGGTTTTTGCCTTTCCGCGTCCACAAATCGGCCATGTCCAAGACTGGCATCTGCACCCCAAGACTTGATTATAGCCAAGGAACCTTGGGAGGATCGGATGACTTCCCCCAGAACCGATATTCTGTGAAGTTTAAGGGGAGGTTGCCATTTTTGAGCGCCCACAAAAAATCATCCGGGTGATGTTCCCCATACGGGTCATTCAGGCCACGTACTGAATGAGTTTTGAACCACCACCAAAATGGGATTGCACATGGGCACATCACTAGTTGGTGTGAGCTGTGTGCAACTGTGCAACATGGCTTTTTGTGTCTAGCGGTCGAAGCAACATCCAAGACAGATGGTGGTCGGCCAAATGGAACGGCTCTCTCATAGTGTCTCACCCAAGCGGCCAAGTGCCAGGGGCAATGGGGGGGGCCTTGGTTTGGGGAGGGGGGTGGGGGGTGGGGGGTGGAGGCTGGGGGGTGGGGGGTGGGAAGTTGAAGGACTTTAATATGCTCAGTCCTGCAATTTCATTGGGCCAGCAAGAGCAGGAAATCACCAGTTCAGTCAAGAGCAAGCCGCGCGAGGCAACTGTCATGGCATCAGCTGACTTTTTCTAGCCGTGCTGGTTCCTCGCTAGGTCAAGCGATGATGCGCTGGAACGACGCCAGCTTGCCATTGTCCGGGAGCCCAGAATACTCAGGGCCAAAGAAGCTGCGACCATTTGCAAGCTGGACGACTCCAGGCTTCAGCCCTTCAAGGTTTTTTTTCCTTGCGGAATGAATCACATTTCAAGTTGACTGCGCATGATGTGTTTTGTGTTCCCTGGCTGCTGGTTCCGCCAGAACCCACTTGGAGACCAGAACAAGCAAACTATGCTCGCCTACCCTTATTAGTATCGCACCGACACATATCCCAGCTACTGGTCTTCACAACCTGCGGGACCTCTCGGGTTTCTCTCTAAATGACCAAAGGGTCTGGCTCTTCGAATGTTTGGTGAAAGCACCAAGGGCGCCTCACGACTCTTTTCAAAAGATGTGGCTTTTGGCCCACGCCGATTTGGTTTTTTGTGTGACAAATGACACACAAAGCCATGCAGAGGCACTCACGAATCTGTCCATGCCCTTCATGGGCAACGGCACGTTTTTGCGCCTGCTGCGTGATCCTTTTGCATGACTTGTACTGGAGACTGGAGTTGGGAAGTTGGGAGCATCATGACAAGAGCCAGACCATGAGGTCCCTACGTGTCCTTTCGGCGAAGCGGATGGGTACTCGTACTGGTAAAATGAAAAGAGGAACCACACAGAAATCAGCACAATCCATCGATTTCCACAGGGGGGTTCGGTTATCCTCAACTGTTTGTCCACTTGGCAGGGACATTGGGGGACTTTCCATGCGTTCAACTGTACCTCCGGCAGATCAAAGCGGACCCAACAAATCCATGCTTAGCGGAAGCTCTTTGGGATTTGAATCCATTTTGGGTTTCGGTAAATTTACAACAAACAATGGCACCCGGGGCCCAGACACGCGATGCCACGCGATGCTACGCGATGCTCTCAGGTCTCTTGACATTCTGTCGCAAATGTTGGGCGCCATGCTGAGCAACAGCACAGCGCCGCCTGTGGCGTCCACCTGTGTGTAAAAACGGCCGGGATCGGAACATCCAGGCAAGGTACTCTGGGGCTACGGAGCCAAGAGGCCGTGATGTCCGTTGTTTACATGGGGATCCTTGATTTCAGGTGTTGGAACTGGTTCGAATTTGCAGATCCCAGGGATGAGCTTGCCCAAGCACCACAATTGCGGGTGCCAGTTGTGGCCATTTGGTCCCAGTTAACGACACAGGGACAGCGACAAATCTGGGACTGTTCGCAGAGACAGCGAGGAAGTCAGGAATCAGGGAAAACCGCCGTCTCGCGCCTGGCTCAAAGTCGAAGGACGGTTCAGTTTTCTGGTCTAACAAATCCAATCCAGGAACCGTGCCAATCCCAAAAGTCGGGTCAACAAAGATGAGAGTTCCTGAAACACAAAGCTACGCATCCGACCTGGGGGATTGCAAAAGAAACAACGCTCCCTTCCTTCTGCTTTGGTGTCGCTTGTGTTGGACGGCCGTGTTTTTCTGGCCATGGCTTTGTCTTGGATGGCGCGGGCGGCCATTGCCAGGGCCCCCAACCGGCGACCGGGGTGTCGACGCGGTGCATGTTGGTTATATCGAACAGAGGAAGGACCCTCCAAACTTCAAAAGCGTGGTTGCGAGTTTGGTTTTACAGCCACTTTCTGTTGTATCGGTGCGAGGAGTTTGGTTTTGCAGCAACTGTGATACTCTAAACGTACTCCCTTTCAAGTGAAGTATCACAAGGTCAGCTTTCCATGCCCAACGGTGTCAGTTTGACTTCGACTTCCAGTCAAAAGCAGCCCAAGGGGCTTCCCACTCTGGCCATGTTTGGACCATTTCCTATGTAGGCACACTCGGGTTCGTTTAGGTTCCAGCGCTTTGGGTTCCAGCCCATCTGGCAGCGGATGGGGGGACGTCTTTGATCAGTCACAAGCCTTCCAAAGGATTTGGCGGCTAAAGGGTGTGGGGCCTTAAGAGTCATGGGGCCAGTGAGAGGGTTGTCTATGGTTGTCTCTATTTGCCGCAGGAGCTAAGGGGATTCACACCTGTGCTTTCAGGGACGAGATGTTGGTCTACATAGCTCCCTCAAGTCCTCCGCACAGCCTTCACCGAGGTCCTCGTCCAATTGTCCGGTTTTATGAGGGGCCACTGGAAGATGCGGATCGCGAGCTTCCATACTTGAAGAGGCAGCTTGCTTAGGTTAGTAAGCGTTGTTGTAAGTCGCCTGGCCTCATGAGCATCAAAATCCCGTCCCCAGAGCTGTCGGCCTTTCGGCTGGCCGCATGTCTGAACAACAAGTGAAGAGTGGGTGGTGAAATGCATGGGCCGGGCCAACGTGGCACATGCCACCACGCTTGCAGATAGCCTTGAGGTGTGCGCCTCGAGGTTTGCACCAGAAAGCCTTTCACTAACATCAAGCTGAACCGGCCCTCATGGATGTCAAATACATGCTGGCCATGAAACACAGCGAGCTGGGCAAAAGGGGCCGGCCACTGAGGGCATGACCAAAGAGGACACCGGCCGCAAGAAGGCGGAACCGTCCCCGAGCTCGCCGGAGATGACTCACCGGTCACTGCCGGAGGCGGGGGAGGGTGGGGGGGGGGGGTGGGGTTTGTACACTACCTCTTTGCGTTGGTGTGGGTTGGTTGTGATTGTTGACTCAGGCGAGTCACTGATTGAATTGCTGATAGTCCCAATCTCCCACAACTGTTGCCCATCCAAGCCTCACGTCAGTGGACCGCTTCTCCGAAGTGATGCAGGAGGCCCACCCAATTTACCATTCGTCCTGGGAATCAAGTATTTTTTCAGGGGCTAAGGCATTTGTTCTGCAAATAGATGGATTTTGCTGACTAGGTTCTAGCAATCGACGAGTGCCATTTGGTAGTCCACAAGCACACCTGAACTGAGAGCCAGTTGTTCAACAAGAGTGTTGACAGGGTTTTTGGAGTGTTTCGTATATTTACTGACGACGATGACGAGCACTTAAACGTAAAGCTGGAAGTCGCCGATTGATTGTGATTTTCAGGGCAAGGCACGGACTCTCGAAGGATTGACGTCTTGACCTTTCAAACGTTTGCTTCACTTGACTAAGTTTTATCGGCACGAGAGTGGATAGTTTCAAGCTGCCTTTGTTGAGACAGGTCCATTCATAAGTGCATTTTGCCCAAGATTCCGCGGCATTTTGTGTCGGGGCAAGGACTTGTGCCAGGCACGGAGGAAGCCAGACATGCAGACTCCCAAGGAGGCGAGCTGCGCCTACTTTGGGTGCTGGGACTTGTGCAAATCTGCTGGGGTCATACCTAGGTGGTTACCCAATGATTCATGGGGTTTTATCCATTCCAACTGCCGCAGGATTTCGTCCAATATTTAGGCGTAGCTTTGAGCATGGTATTGCGAAGGTCAGTTGATCATTCCTTAGGCCTGAGGCAGCGTGTTTGCTCTCCGTCCAGGGCTGCATGGTGCTTTGAGAAATGGATGAGTGTGCATGTCATTTCTGGACTTGAGACAGTGGGTTTGTCCCGCTTCGTACATCACTCCAAGCTCTTCGCCAATCAGTTTGTCAAGGCACTCTACGCAAGTTACTTTACGCATGTCACTTTGTGCAAGTTACTCTGCGCAAGCCATTCAGAGCAAGTCACTTTACGCAAGTCGCTTGAAAACCACAACTCTTTGGTATGAAAACAGCGCACACAGTACCTCGCCGCAGCTCCGGCTCAACAATCGCAGCCCTTGAGTGCAAAAGTGGCACACGAACTGTTTTACGCAGATGCGGCTCGAACAGCGCAAGTTACTGAGTGCATGTCAATTTGTGCAAGTCACTGTACTCAAGTTGCTCTACGCCGCTCAAGCTGCGCAAGCTGCTCTGCGCAAGTCACTCTGCGTGAAGAACTCTGCGCAAGTCACTCTGCGGAAGTTATACTCTGAGCAAGTCACACTGCGCAGGTTTGCCTGCGCATGCCTGCGCAATTCGCTTTGCGCGAGTAACTCTTTCGCAAGTCGCAATACACTCAACTCAATCTGCACATGTCAGTTTGTGCGGGATACTTTGAGCAAATCCTTTATGCAAGTTGCTCTGCACAAGTCGCTCTTATGAGGTCTTCCCTGCGCATGTCACTCTGCGCAGGTCACTTTACGCAAGCCGCTTTGCGCAAGTTACTCTGAGTTAGCCACTTTGCGCAAGTCACTTTATGCCAGGCCCTCTACGTCAGTAGCCCTACGCAAGTCGCGAGTCACCTGCGCAAGTCATTCATCACACACTGCAAATCGCTTCGGGCAAGTCACTCTGCGCAGGTGACTCGGCGCAATCCAGTTTGCTCAAGTTAATTACTTTAAGCAAGTCATGTTGCGCAAACCACTTTACGCCAAGGCCTCCAACTATGCTATGCAAGTCGCAAATGACTCCGTGCAAGTCACTCTGCACAGGTCACTTTGCGCAAGTCACTCTATGTAAATCACTTTGCAAGAGATACTCTGAGCAAGTCCCACAGAGTCACTCTGCTCGGGTAGCTTTGCGCAAGTCACTCGAGGCAAGGCGCAAGTCACTCTACGCAAGTCGCTTTGTCATTGTGCGAGTTAAGTTGCCCACCGCAAGTTAACCATCACAACCGTCTATGCAAGGCGCACGTAAGGCACAAAATGCAAGCCACTTTCAGAATTACCTCTACAGAAGTTGTTCTGCGCAAATCGCTGAGAACAAGTCACTTCGCGGAGGTCACTCTGCACGTTGCGCAAGGTACTTTGCGCGAGTTGCTTGCGCGCGTCGCTCTGCGTAAGTCGATTTGCACCCTCGCTCTGTACGTAAATGACTCTGCCGAACGGGGCCAGTGCTTTTGCCGGAAGAAGATCTTGCGACGCTTTCGGCAAAAGCAGCCAGCATTGCCAAACACCACAATGACAGTGAGAATCCGAGCAAGCCAAGAGTCCAATACCTGCAAAAACTTGAAACAAGCAGAGCGCTGCAAAGCATGCCAACATGGCCGAACCGCGTTTGTTCCTATAAGCAAACTCGACTTTTTGTTCAATCCTCTATCACCCAGCTTGGCTGGAGCACGCCTGGTCACGGAACAGCGTAATACTGCACATACGCAGCCAGTCTACGTGACCCACGACCCCCTTCTCTACACCCCTTGGCTAACTTTCGCTGTCGGGGTCATTTGCCGAGATATTGTTTTAATCAAAGGAAACCACTGGAAGCGACAGAGTAACTAGCAAAAAACAATGAAGCCAAACCAAGGAAGCCGACGGAAACCACTGAAGGAACCCTGCCATTTTGGGGGGTCCAAGGCCCATAAGGCGCACAAATTCGAGAATTCGAGCTCGCGAATCCCTCTGTGCCCAGAGCTGCGGGGATGTGGACACCGTGCAGTGCGAGAGCTCAATGAGCCTCATGGGCCTGGCGGAGTGTAGCCGGGACCCCGGCAGCATGGGATGGTCTCCTGCCGATGGGTGTGTCTTTTTTTTTGAGGGCAACCCGTTTTTGGGGAAAACCATTTTTGTGGTTTCTTTTTGGGGGGGTCCCTCCAAAAAAGGCACAACCATAGTTTCGTTTTTAGGGTAGACATGATGTTATTTTGGGCGTAGCACCAGAGTTGGGAGGGATGAGGGGCGCATATTAGTTCACAAGCTTATCGGACCATGAGTAGATCGAGCTATCCCATGATGGAAAATATCTTGCTTCGAAGGCCGTATTTCATAGGATTTTGCCCGGATGGAGGGAGGGCGCAGTGTTGTTTCCGCATCTGGTTTGGTGGGTTGATGCCAAGGTGTTGATGTTGGGCTTATAGAATGGTTGCCTCACGTTTGAAGCGGAAACTTAGGAGAGGCAAACACACCCAGGATAAGCTATGAATCCAACCAACCTTAGGAAAGGGCTGTGCAGGGATCGATCTGTATATTTCCCCTTTCAACATGGGGACATATAGGGAACCCTACCATGGGCCACCCAGCAGACCGCCCGAGTTTCCTCTCGGGCAAACAATTTGTTGCTGCTTTGCGGTTGCGAGGCAGGCGAAAAGCGGCCACCTCAGACTTTTTGGACGAGGACCAAGTTGGGCTGGGGATCCGTCCAGGTATGCAACGAGCTTGAGCTCGCTGCTTGTGGGCATGCGCTAGGATGGTCTGCAAGGTGGCGCATGGCATCAATACGGTTTCAAAGTAGATTGTGCAGAACCCCCTCTTTTAGGGTTAATCCTCCTTCCCGGCAGAAACTTAATTGTGCCATCTATTCTCACCCTGTTGCAATTAACGATACCAGGTGCGGGTATGCTTTTGGATGCGCTAAAGCTGCTGTCCCCATGCGTCTTTTTTGTGCGGCCTGGCCACCGACCCGTGCAGCCTCCCTGCTCGGGGTCCTGTGCACATCCTCCCGACACCGGCCCAGGTACCTCGTGCTGGTCCAATCTGGCTATGAACTTTGATGGTCACCTCCTTAAAGCGGTTGGTGGACATGAATCCCCCCCCAAATGATGTCCACCTATCCAAATGTCACCCCCTTCTGTCAGGGGGTTCGCTATGGCGATCCGCGCAGGACATGGCGGACTTGTCGCCCTCACGGAAATTCTCCAGGGAAGAGATCTTCGTGCGCACCTTTCCAGGCCAGGGAGTCGTGGGCTGGGCTGGTGCCTGGTTTCCCTTCGCTGGATGTTCCTTCAAATCATCTACCAAACAAGAGCGAAGCGCCCTCCCCCATTTTTCCATGGCAGGCCTTGGGGCACACTCTGATTGAGTGCTTTTTGGATTTAGATTCGCACTAAGACACGCATCTGTGGTTCAGGCGCTTCAGCCGGCTGAATCGAAATCCCGGGCCAGGAGAATCCGAACCCCGGATGAATAACCTTGGTTGAACAAAGGGGGGTTGCGGCTGTTTAGTGGGGATGAGCTTATTATTCGTCCGGAGCCCCCAGTATGAAGTAGGTGATATATACATTCAAGATGGGCTTGAAGAAAGCAACAGGTACGCTTGCCTTTGAGCAACCACATATCCAGCCGAGTTTAAACATGCAACATGTAAATACATGTAAGGTTGCATTTCATGTTTGCATCCAGAAGTTTCTCAATCAGTCCCTTGTGCAGAATGTCCCATCATTTCGCTTCCTTTGTGTCCTCTTCATTTTGGTTCTTTCCTCTTCTTTTTCTTCATTCCTGTGGCGTTTCCCTCCATCTCCTTGGAGACCCTCGTCCAGGAAGCTGCAAACAACCTGTTCCATCGAGCATATGCACCCCCGCACGCGCAGCCCACCACGAGATTGCTCAAATTCTATTGAGATTCAAAGCAGAGGTCCACAGAGGTCCACAGAGGTCCAATCCATCATGTTCCGGGTGGCCCATTGACCTTCCCTCAAATTCGGCCTCTACACCCTAAACCCGGCATGCCAAGGCTCGCGTAAACTCGCCCAGGCACCTATTGGAAAGCCCCGGAGCTGCCCGGGCGCCCATTCGGCGCGCAAGATGGTCAGATGAATTGGCCCTAAACCTGCTGGTCGTTTCCCTTGGTGTGTCTCCGTATGCGGCAACCATGGCAACCCGGAATTTCGAGATCGTCCCCCTCCCCCATCTTGAACGGCCCAGTTTAGGAAACATGAGGTGCGTGCGCTGACGTTCACGCGTGATTTCCTTAAGGCCACCAGGCAGCATCAAGTGCAAGGACATGGAGGAGGAACCAGGTGGGTGGGATCTGGGAGGGTCGCATAGGGAAGGGCTTGGTCCAAACACCGAACTCCAGAATTTTGGTTTGGTCCTATCACTGTCGACAGTTTCATGAATTTCTTGAACATTGTGTAGCTTGGCTTGTTTTTGCAAAGGCAACAGACACATCCCACGCGTTTGGCAACTTGAACCACAATCAAAACCCGGGTAATGGTGGAACCCTCAAGGTCGACAAGGTTTGGGAAAACCGGATTTTGGAGGGTCCCCTAAAACTCCCTCGGATTAATCCGAGTCCTCTCCGGTGCTTTTCTGTGTCCGTCTTGCCAATGGGACTGCAATAGGAAGGTAAAGGGAAACTGCATTTTTTGAGAGGGACTTGATTACTCAGCGGAGGTTTGTGTTATTTGGGGCCTAGCCTTGAAGGAGGGTAGTACCCTTTACGAGCTTGTCAAAACTTGTTTCTTGTTGACAAATTGTAATAATAGATTTCCTGTTTCCGGCGAGCCGTTTTTGATTTCTGGAATGGTAGGCCTTGACTATGAAAGGAGCTGGTATTGGCAATCGTATTGGCAACAGCTTTGGCATTACATGAATGGTTTGTCAAGGATAGTCCCAACCATAAATGGGTGCAGCCGCCATTGTAATTCTTTACATGATTCTGGGTAGACCATTTCAATACCAGGTGTGGATTATGACTCACTTCAACCTAATTGAATTTGTCAAACACAGGGGATGTTTGTGTGGTTTTCAGATCTTCAAGGCGTGGTGGACCCAACCTTGGGACCAGTGGGCCTTTTGAATGAGCAGAAAGGAGCCATTCCTGGCCGTCCGAGGGGACACCTTTACATTTTTTGTACTGACCAGATGGCGGTTGGTGTGGGATTCGATTCCAATTGCGGGTGTGTGAATTGTGATTGGAGCTAATGATATGTGAGATGCAGCATAGGCTAGCCGACACGTTTTCCCTGCAGCCGTATATTGCCAGGTATTGTTTGCTTGACACTTCCAGTGCTGATGGATTTAAGTTATCACATACCAAGAGAATGATATACACTGATGCTCGCGTTTGCAGATCTGGCATGTGAGCAATCATGATACACTTGCTTTGCACGACATGCCGATGCTTGCTCAAAATGGGCGGCTTTCCTTGTGCCCCCGACTCAAGTTGCTGTCCGGAAACTCTATCCCATGCCATCCCCTTTATCTTTTTATGCACACCTGCTCTTGAATCGAACTGGTGGGGAAGGTCGCAGCTAAAGCGGAACAGCGCGCACCGCCTTTGTATACCGCCTACCCTCTTATAACCCTTGTACGCCATGGGTTGGTACCCTCCCAATTCAACGCAAGCTGTATGTATATGGTACAACAACCAGATTCTATAGACCACTCTGTTTGAGTATTCAAAGATGTACGTTTCCAAACCACATTCCCCGCTAGGCTCCACGGAGGTGCCGGGGCAGAGCCCGGGCTCGGGCAGCGGGTCGGGGCCCCGAGGAGTTGTTGGGCACCTTGCGGGGGGATGGGTCGGTCCTAGCGAACGGTTGGATGGAATCCATGGGGATTTGTTTGATGTGTCCAGCATTTCGATATGTTGGGTGATTCAATCATCCATATGCTAGGCAATTCCGTTTGTAATTTCCAACCATTTGGTGTAAACACCAACCATTTGTTGTAAATACCAACCATTTGGTGTAATTTCCAACCATTTGGTGCAAATACCAATCATGTGGTGTAAACCAACCACTTGGCGGAAAGAGAAGCAGCTGAAGCGTCGAGCCGCGAGGTCGGACCAATCTTTCGACTCGGACAGCAGCCCCGGGAGTCCCAGCCGCGAGAAGTCGGCGCCGGAGGCAGCGGGGGAGGGATGTCTCACTGGAAGTTGACCGCAAGGGTATTGTTTTGGCCAACCGCCCAAGGGGGACACGTAGGGAACCAAGCGTTTTGTGTTTTTTTGTTTGTTGGGGGGGGCATTTTTCTGGGGTTCAAAACGATCCTATTATTCAATAACTTTAGAGCCTCCGGCTCAGTCCGCCGACATTGTCCTCTCCCTTTTCTCCTTCTTCCTCTCTTCCTTGTCTCCCTTGTGTGTTCTGTCGTCCTCTCTCCCTCCCTCTGCTCCCATCCTCCCCATCCCCCCAAGCCTCTCTCTCCCCACTCTCCCTCTCTCGTATGTATGTATGTATGTATGTATGTATGTATGTATGTATGTATGTATGTATGTATGTATGTATGTATGTATGTATGTATGTATGTATGTATGTATGTATGTATGTATGTGTATGTATGTATGTATGTATGTATGTATGTATGTATGTATGTATGTATGTATGTATGTATGTATGTATGTATGTATGTATGTATGTATGTATGTATGTATGTATGTATGTATGTATGTATGTATGTATGTATGTATGTATGTATGTATGTATGTATGTATGTATGTATGTATGTATGTATGTATGTATGTATGTATGTATGTATGTATGTATGTATGTATGTATGTATGTATGTATGTATGTATGTATGTATGTATGTATGTATGTATGTATGTATGTATGTATGTATGTATGTATGTATGTATGTATGTATGTATGTATGTATGTATGTATGTATGTATGTATGTATGTATGTATGTATGTATGTATGTATGTATGTATGTATGTATGTATGTATGTATGTATGTATGTATGTATGTATGTATGTATGTATGTATGTATGTATGTATGTATGTATGTATGTATGTATGTATGTATGTATGTATGTATGTATGTATGTATGTATGTATGTATGTATGTATGTATGTAATGTATGTATGTATGTATGTATGTATGTATGTATGTATGTATGTATGTATGTATGTATGTATGTATGTATGTATGTATGTATGTATGTATGTATGTATGTATGTATGTATGTATGTATGTATGTATGTATGTATGTATGTATGTATGTATGTATGTATGTATGTATGTATGTATGTATGTATGTATGTATGTATGTATGTATGTATGTATGTATGTATGTATGTATGTATGTATGTATGTATGTATGTATGTATGTATGTATGTATGTATGTATGTATGTATGTATGTATGTATGTATGTATGTATGTATGTATGTATGTATGTATGTATGTATGTATGTATGTATGTATGTATGTATGTATGTATGTATGTATGTATGTATGTATGTATGTATGTATGTATGTATGTATGTATGTATGTATGTATGTATGTATGTATGTATGTATGTATGTATGTATGTATGTATGTATGTATGTATGTATGTATGTATGTATGTATGTATGTATGTATGTATGTATGTATGTATGTATGTATGTATGTATGTATGTATGTATGTATGTATGTATGTAATGTATGTATGTATGTATGTATGTATGTATGTATGTATGTATGTATGTATGTATGTATGTATGTATGTATGTATGTATGTATGTATGTATGTATGTATGTATGTATGTATGTATGTATGTATGTATGTATGTATGTATGTATGTATGTATGTATGTATGTATGTATGTATGTATGTATGTATGTATGTATGTATGTATGTATGTATGTATGTATGTATGTATGTATGTATGTATGTATGTATGTATGTATGTATGTATGTATGTATGTATGTATGTATGTATGTATGTATGTATGTATGTATGTATGTATGTATGTATGTATGTATGTATGTATGTATGTATGTATGTATGTATGTATGTATGTATGTATGTATGTATGTATGTATGTATGTATGTATGTATGTATGTATGTATGTATGTATGTATGTATGTATGTAATGTATGTATGTATGTAATGTATGTATGTATGTATGTATGTATGTATGTATGTATGTATGTATGTATGTATGTATGTATGTATGTATGTATGTATGTATGTATGTATGTATGTATGTATGTATGTATGTATGTATGTATGTATGTATGTATGTATGTATGTATGTATGTATGTATGTATGTATGTATGTATGTATGTATGTATGTATGTATGTATGTATGTATGTATTGCAGATCTTGGCATTCTCATGCATGATTTTGTCATTGCAGCCATAGGCATTAGGCTTTGGTAAGTGAGCTATTTTTGCTTGAGGTTGCATGAGTGGACATGTCTTGCGAGTTGACATGTCCACCTTGAGGAAGTTGGAGTGGCGTGCCTATTTTGGCTCAAGCCACATGCGCACGGTGAATGAGTGCGCTGCCTGTGAAAACAACGAGCCGCTTCGCGGGTGTGCCAGAGAGTCGGGACACGGGTGAGACGTGGATTCTGGGTTAGTCCTTGGTTAGGATTAACGCCTCTCACAGTTGGGGGCTGTTCTGGGAAATCTGAACTCCCTGACCCTTGTAAGCACACCGCGGTAAAAGGCTTGTGTGGGCAGCCTCTACTGAAGGATGAGCCAGGAAGTTTCAGGCGAAGAACTTGGTGTCACTCTGCTTGACTGCATCAGAGATGGAAGGGTACCAAGGCCTGAGGAAATGAGCTTCCCGGCTTGGCAGCGCTGGAGGAAGCGTGAAGGTCGTCGGCCGACCCGCCGGCAGGATGGCCGCGGAATGTCTACGGTCGAAGAAGTAGCTCTTTGGAGAGCCGTGACGGCGGAGCTATATGGGGAAGACCGAATTGAGGACCTTGAAGAAGAAGAAGAACAAGATGAAGAAGAAGAGCCGGAAGCCAGACCAAGGCTGAGGCCGATCCCAGCTCTTATGGGGCCAGCAGAGCCTGACGTTGGGACTCGGCCGTCGCCGCGACCAGTGGGGTTTGCGGGCGAGGCCCCGGGTGAGCAAGCCCGGCCGGCTATCAGAGATGAAGGTGGAAGAGGGGAGGAGAAGGGCAGAGCTAGCCCGGCTCCCTCTTCGGGATACACCGGTGTCTCCATGTCGGAGATGCAAAGGAAGCTGTTCGCACTTCATGATCCGAGGTATGAGAGCCTCGCGGCCTATCGGGCGCGGGCCGAACGGATCTCCCATGCGTTAGAAGTGCTGGGACAAGAAGTGGGACCGGCTGACCTGCGGTCAGTCATCATGAAGGCAGAGTTGATACAAGAAGGATACGAAGCTCTGGGTGACTTTGACCCTAGGACCATGGTTGGTCACTTGAGGGAACAGTTCATCATGCTGGCCAACGATGACACGAAGGAGCCAGAAGAGAAAGGACTCACGACGGTCGCGATCGCGGAGTTGATCCAGGACTTGGGAGGCCGAGTGAGTACGGCTCCTGACAAAGTGTTCTCTACTCCATCCGACGAGCTCCATGATGACCGGAATAGAGGTTCGAAGCGGAGCCGTGAACCCACCGATGGAGACGAAGGCGTAGTAGCCTTGAGATCCAAGATGGTGGCAATGCAGATGGAGCTGGAGTCTCTGAAGAAGGACAAGGACAAGGACAGGGCGGCCTCAGAGGCGTCCTCTCCTGAGAAAGAGCTCGCGAACGCGCTGGAGCATCAAACAGCGGCCTTGATGAAGGCGCTGGAGGGCCGTAATCAATCGCAAGTTATGTCGGTAAAAACAGACTTGCAATGGCCCACGCTTGGGGACGAAAGGAGCGACTCTAAGGACGTGTCCGAGTTCTACGACCATTTCGAGGACAACTGTGGTCTCGCGAACTCCTGCAAGGGCATGAACTATCGGGAGATGCTGCTTGCGCTGAGATCTCGGTGCAGGGGGTCCCGCCTCAAGACGTTCACGAACCTCTATAAGTCGGCCTACCGAGCCGGCGAGATAGAGAAGGACCCGGAAAAGGTGTACAAGCGGATCAAGGCGAAGCATCTCTTGTTCACGGAGAGCCCGGAGGAAAGGGAGATACGAGTTGACGCAGAGCACGTAGCTTTGGCGAAAGGGAAGATGACAGGGCACCAGTTCGAACCGCTTTTTGAGGCGAGCGTCACGGAGCTGGAGACAGTTGGCCTGGGTAAGAGTAAGAGGGAGCTGTACCTGTCGTATCTTCGCAAGATGCCTGCGCACCTGCAGAAAGAGATCCGGAGTGACAAGAGGTTGTGGGCTGGTGAGACCCAGCTGAGAGGACCTCAGACATGGGAGGAGGCTCATCGAGTGGTTCTGGAGGTCGAGCAGCGAGAAGCCACTCATCGGGCGACTGCGAATGCTGTCTACTCCACGGAGACGGAGAGGCAACAGCAACCTCCGAAGAAGGAGCCAAAGAAACCGAAGGAGCCAAAGGCGCCGAAGCAGCAGGTTTTGGCGGCCACAGAAGGCACGAACGGCAAGAAGCTGTGTTTCCACTACAGGGATCATGGAACCTGTCCGTGGGGAGACAAGTGCCACTACTCCCACGACAAGGAGCTTCGGAAAAAGGCGCTGGCGGAGAAGAAGCAGCACGCGGAGAGCGGATCAGTTCTCGCGGTTAAGGGCGAAGGAAAGGGCAAGGGGGACCAGAAAGGGAAAGGTAAGGGAACCGGAAAAGGAAAAGGAGATTCTAAAGGAAAGAGCGGTTCCAAGGGCAAGTATGATGGAAAGAGTAAGAAGGAAGTCCTCTGCCCTTTCTTCCGGAAGAACGGCGCCTGCAAGAAGGGGTCCGGGTGCGATATGCTGCACGCGCTCGTGATCGGCGAAGAGACCGGAAGGACGCAAGGAGTCGCGACTCAGCAGTCTTTGGCAATGGGGCCGAAGCCGGATGCGAGCTCCCTGATCAACCCGTTCGCTGCACTTAGCGTGACGATCGGAGAGTACAGTAACTCAGAAGTGATCTCTGGCGGAGTGTTGAAGACGTCGCCGAGCAACGGTGGCGGAGGTCCAGGGATCGCGGATCTTGACGATCTGCCGAAGGATTGGTGGGAGGTCGTCCAGAACGAGTCCGGAGGGTACCAGTAC